ACCGCGCCGTCGGACTCTGAATTTCCGGATCCGACACTGCCCCCGCTTCCCTCGGCACCAACAGCCAGCTCGGGCATGCCTGCGCGGGGGGGCGAGGGAGCCGTCTCGGTAGAGGAGGGCAGAGCTGAGGAGGGCAGAGGAGGGCACGAGAGGCAGAGGCGGGCAGAGGAGGGCAGAGGAGGGCAGAGGCGGGCAGAGGCGGGCAGAGGAGGGCAAAATGCAGCGATGGGCGGGAGGGCGTGCCATCTCCGTCCATGTCGTCGAGCATCGCGAGCGAGTACCCAAACTTGTCTTTGGGCTGCAGGGCGGCGCTGACTCCTGCGCCGACAGAGAACAGTGCGGCGGTTGGCGGCGGCGGTAGGTGGGCGGTTGGGTGGGTGTGGTGTTGCTGCAGAGTGGGGGCGTGGAGGGGCGCTGCGGAGTGAGAGCGGCTCTCACCGAGGTCGAGGCTGCCGCTGACGGTGCCGTCGGCCTCGAGGAAAAGGATCCAGGCGTCGCCGGAACGATCGGAGTTCATGCTCCCTCCGACAGCCAGCTCTGCAGTGCCGTCCCCGTTCAAGTCGGTCAAGGCGGCGAGGGAGGTGGCGAACACGCCGCCAGTAGGGATGGTCTCGATGCCCTTGCCCGACTCGATGCGCCGGTGCGAGGTGACGTTGACGGATGCTGGCCAGCCGCCTGCAAGGAGGGGGAGGCGGTGAGCAACTAACAAACAGAGGAGAAAGCGTGGAGGCAGTTGGCACGGCAGCTGCACGCCGGTGTCCATAAAAAGGAGGAAGACGGTGCCCTGAATGCCGGTCATCCCCGTGCTAGGGATGTCATCGTAGAAGTCTGTGCCCGCGCCCACCGCGAGCGCAAGCCCGGTGCCGCCTTGGCTGTGAAAGCCCGGCAGAGCTGCGATGGCCTGCCCAAAGTGCTGGTACGTGTCCAGGCCGGCTGACGACGGGTTGAAGCTCCCCTGCATGGGCTCAATGACAACCCACGACAGCAGGCATGCGGCCGGATCCGCCTGGCAGTCGGCCTCGGAGGCAAGCCGGAGCAGGTAGACGGCGCCTGCGAGAGCGGCCGGGTGCGCGGCAGGTGTGAGCGGCAGGTGTGAGCGGCTGGGCGTGATGGCGACCGTGCCTGCTTTCGCAGGGCTCGCATCCAGCCCGCAAACCAACAGTTCGCAACCTGGAGCACCGACGGCGAGCGTCACACCGCCCAGATCCGGCACCGTTGCGACGGCCGAGCCAAACAAGGTGTAGTTAGCGAGTGGAAGCTGGTTATCGCCGATGGTGACCTCGACGCATGCCGCACACTCGAGGTTGAGAAGCGTGACTGCTCCGCGCCGAATTCCATTTCCTGGAAGCTGGTTATCGCCCACGGCGACCCAGCCAGTGGTGCTGTTGAGAGCGGCGATCGCTGCGCCGAAACGAAGCGAGTCGCCCGGATCGACAACTTGATCGTCAGTGACGACAGTTGGGTAGGTGGAGACCGCTCCGACGATAGGAATCGCCAACGCGATCCACGTGATCATCGGCGGCAGAACAGATGCCTGGCCTGAGGCCGATCACTTTGCACTGGTCCTCCGCCTCGCGGCCGCAAGCAGGACATGTGTGGCTTTCTTCCCGAGCTGTTCTTACACGCGCGCACCGCCGAGCCTGCGGCGGTTACGCTGCGGCCGCACGTCTAACTTCGTCAAAGTGCCACGACGTGCGGCCTAGATTTAGCCCACGCGCCTCTGCTCGCAAACACTCACCCATTGATTGAATTGTCACTGCCCGTGAGAGAGAGAGCGATAGGGCTAGCAGTAGGCCGCTAGCCTGTGAGGAGGGCGTCCATAGACACCTCACTAGACCCACACACGGTCTCGTCCGTGCCTCGCCGGCCGGCGAGATTGCTAGAGGCGGAGCGGTCTGCTCTAGTCTCACATGTTACTTCCTGCCGTCTGTTGTTTGTTGTGCCCTTGTTTGTTCTCTTGGCACCTTGGAGTGCTGGGGGGGGCGACAGGGAGGATGTCGCCTTGAGTTATGTGTACGCCTACTCAGGGTGTGTGGCAGCCCGCTCGCTGGCTGTGGTGTGTGTCTTGTGAGCCTGTTTGTGTCTGTGTGTCGCTCGTGCGTGCCGTCATCATCTGTCCAGCGTCCACCCATACCGCGTTGGTGTCCAGTCCGAGCCTGACTGTTCTTCACCTTCCTACATACATACATACATGACATGACAGAAGTGTCCCTTATAATGGCGTTGAACTGGCGGCGCCTTTCTCTTTTCTCTGGCCCGGCGGGCTTAAAGGCCGGTGCACCTCGCGGTCTGCGAGCGGGCGGTCGGTGGAGGCGCTGCGCCCTGCGCGCGTCCGCGAATTCGCGTCCGCGGTGCGGCAGGTTGCGATCCTCGGCCGGCGGGGCGTGCTGCAGGCGGCCTTCACGATCAAGGAGCTGCGTGAGCTCACAAAGCTCGCCGGTGTCTCGACGTCGATCGAGGCGCCGCCCGACGCCTTCTCCGCCGTCGTGCTTTCTTGCCTGGGCTCCTCCCAAGGCTGAGCTCCTCCCTGCATCTCTGCAGAATGTCCCTTGTACGTACTTTTAGCTTACTTGGAGAAAACGAGTTTACTAAAAAGAAAAGAGGCGGGGTTGCGTAGGCCCTTGTACAGTGGGTTGCGGGCATTAAGAAACCTTACCATCAAGAAACCCTACCAAGCGATTTCCGCGAAAATCTAAGAAACCACGCGGGCGCGCCGCAGGCGCGGCCCCGAGAAAAGGCCAGTCACGAGTGTGAACGGGAGCCCCAGCTGAAGCTCAAAATTTCTCTTCGCGCTGCGGCGCGCGCACTTGTCACTTTTCAAGTCTGCGGAGTTCTGAGTGGAGTGGATGGAGGCGTGTGTGCGTCTTCCCGTCATCCAGAGAGCCGACTCGGCGGCAGACTCTGGCATCGCCCTCGCGGACCGCAGCTTAATACCTCCGGCTCCGCAGCTTTAATACCTAAAAATCCTTCGGGCCGGCGCTCTGGCTTGATTGAGTGCCCCGCCCGGCCGGAGCTAAGAAACCACGGCGTGGGGTGGATGAGGGCTGTGGAAAGGCTTAGAAACGGCGGCGTGCCACGCGATCCTGTTTTCTTAATCGCCTGTCGCGTGAATCGTGTCGTGCGACCGCCTGCCTTGTAAAATTCTTAATGCCCGCAACCCACTGTAGGAATCCAAACGTATCCGCCCCCCCCCCCCCCCCTCCCCTTCCGCGTTGGGGTACGACGCGGCGAAAGGCACCAGAGAGACTGACTGACGTACCGCGAAGGCGACCAGCAGCCATGGGCCGCCCTCTGCGCGTGGTGATCGCCGGCGGCGGGCTCGCGGGCAACGTGCTGCTGCGGCAGCTACGGCGGTTCGGGCCGGAGCTGCTTCATGTCAGGGCATTCGAGCGGCGGCCGTTCGAGCTAGCCAGCCCGCCGGGGCTGAACGTGCTGCTCAATCACAACGGTTGCGCCGCTCTCGCCGACACCGACCCCGAGCTCATGGCTGCTATCCGAGCCGTCGGCTTCGAGGCGAGGCTGGCAGGCGTGGAAGCTGCTGCCTCGCTCGGCTCTTATGAGCTCTCTCATGTCTGCCAGGTTCGCAACTGGAGCGCGCGCACGATGGCGGGGGACGTGCTCTATCACCTGGAGGACGTCGTGCGCGACGGCCGCGCCGACGAGCCCTGCCTCGTCGCTCGCTGGGACCGCATCCACGCTGCCACACGCTGCGACGACTTGGTCGAGTACGGCGCGGCAGCTCCGACTGGCTCGGCCTGCGCCCTGTGAGAGCTCCCACGTGTGCTGTGATGAAGCGACAGGCGCCGCCGTCGAGAGGGTCGACGACGTGGCGGCGGCAGGCGGCGGCGGCGGCGGCGGCGGCGGCGAGCTGGCGGTGACTGTCGCGCGCGGCGGAGGCGTCACCGAGACGCTCCCTGCTGACCTGGTGGTGGCGTGCGACGGGCGCTACTCCGCGCTGCGGCAGCAGCTCGCACCTGCAGTCCCGTGCTACGGGCCGCCCTACGTCGCGGACTTCCGCATCGTCGCGCCCGGCGCGCCTCCCCCGATGGAGGGCCCTCTGTGGCGAGTGTACAACCGGCCCGACGCCGCCGCGCTGGCCGCCAAGTGCGGCGCCTAGATGCGAACCAGCAGAGATGCGAGCCAGCAGAGGGAGCCGCTGTCTGCGGCACCACCGAGGCTCGCCGTACACATATTCAGCACACCGCTGTGAACAGCCCCCGAACCCACACTCGGGCCCCACAACACATGCGTCGCCCTGTAGGTACGGCGGCGACACTGCCATCCGCGCGGCGGCGGAGGGCGTCGTGCGCGTGGGTCTGATGCGCATGCCCGCGCGCGCCGGCGCTGCGCCGGGCGAGGTGGAGACCGGCCTCTTTGGCAACGTGCGCCTCAGCGACGAGTCGCTAGAGGCGTACGGTTCGCTCCGGTCTGGCGCGGTGCTGCGCGACCTCTTCGCCGCGCCGCGGCTCGACCCTATCGGCGACTGCGTGCTGCGCGTGCGGCGGGGCGCGCAGCCTGTCTGAGCCTCGTGGGAGCCTTCTTAGGCGACTTCGTGCTGCGCGTGCTCGAGGCGCACGGCGACGCGGCGCACTGGGCCCGCAAGCAGCAGACCGAGACGGCATACGCGGCGCTCGGCGGGCGCGTCCTCTTCTGCGGCGACTCGGCCGGCGCCATCTACCCGTCGCTCGGGCAAGGCGCCAACTTGTCGCTCGAGGACGCGTGCGTCGTCGCTGCCGCCTTCCGGCGCGGCTTGCGCGACGAGCAGCGCCGCGATGCCGCCCGCCTCGACGCCGCGGCGCTGGCGGAGCACGTGGCGGCGGTGCGCGGCTCACGGCGCGACTTTGTGCGTGACATGTCGCGCGCGCACGCGGAGCACGTCTCCTCCGGCGACCTCGACGCCGAGGCCGCAGCCTGGAACGACGGCCCGGACGGCGAGTGGGGGTCGAGGCTCGGAAGGCTGTGGCGCGGCTGGCCGCGGGCGGCGACGTCGGAGCTGCCGCCGCTCCGCGCGCGCACGGCGACGCGCGCCAACTTTGCCGCGTTTGGAGAGCTGGTCGCCGAGTCGGAGGACGGCGAGCTGTACGACGCGACGGCGGGCGGCATCGACGCGTCGCTCGACCTCTCGCAGGGTCCGCCTCGGCTGTACCTGATGCGGCTCGATGGCCCTCGCGAGCTGAGCGTCTCGATGATCACGAGGCACCAACGCGTAACGCAGTGCCTCGGCGCGCTCGGCGAGGAGAAGGACTTCTACCTGGTCGTGCACCAGCCGGGCGACGAGCCGTCCGTCGGCGGCCTCAACGCCTTCCGCGTCCCGCCGCGGCACTTTGTCAAGCTGCACGCCGGCACGTGGCACGCCGGGCCTCTGTGGACGCGCGACGAGCACCGGACGTTCGTGAACCTCGAGCTAGCGGACACGGTGTGCTGCCGGCCTCCCTCCGGCCCTCCCGCACCCACCCAGCCCCTCTCCCTCGCCCTGCTCCCACCCTCCCCGCCGCGAGCTGCAATGTGCTGCGAGCAATGAGCCGCTCCACCTTGCCACACAGAACATCACCGACCACGACTGCGTGGACCTGGTCGCCGGCTCCATCCCCTTGCTTGTTGATGCCGCCGCATCTTAGTGCGCGGGGCGGAGCGGGCGGCGAGCGAGGCGAAACGCGCAGGTCCTCACTCGCTTGTCTGCTGTAATTGTACACACCATATCTCTCGTGGGTCGTGCGCGTAAAGAGTATACTCCAAACAACAACAAAAACTATGGACCCTCAAGTGCAAGCCGCGGGGCGCCGCGCGCAGCCAGGTGTGTGTGTGTGACTCTTGTGGCATGTGCACCCCATGCCTCCACCACCGCCTTTTTGGCCGTCCACTCGGTCCGCCACCTAGCCACGGTCCCACGGACCCTCTATGCGCACGGAGAGAGCTGCGCCGGGATGTCCGAGAGCCTACCACCAAGGCAAGCGCGTCTAAGGAGGAGAGCGTGAGACGGCGCAGAGGAGCGGCTGGAGAGGCGCACCCCGCGAAGGTAGGAGGGCTGCAGTGAGGGCGTGCACATGCGGCACACTGTGTGCATGTGCATGACATGTGCATGTGTCGTGTGCATGACATGCACACGTGCATGCACATGCACATGCACATCACATGCACATGCACATGCACATGCACATGCTACATGTACATGTTGTGTGTGAGCTGGGGCCTGGCCTGCGCCTCCTGGCACGACCTGGGCCGAAGGGCCGTGTGGGCAAGTGTGTGGCTGTGGGCGCGGTGGGAGGGCCTGCGCCAGGCATCAGGCTCTTTTGGTGCACGCACCGTGGTCCATCTTCTTGGCACTTTAAATTAGATCATCTTCTGTGTAAACGTGTACAGCCGTAGTTCACGGTCGCCAAGATAGTCCCAAGAGGTACAAGCTACACAAACCCCGCTCTCTGTTGCTCTCTCCTGCGCCTCTGGCCTCTCTCTATCTCCCGCACACACCCGCTGCTGGCCTCGCCAGGTAAGTGCAATAACTGTACGGCCGAGGAGATAGATCGTCGTCTCCAACGAGCGACCCCCGCCTCCGCCTCCACGAGAGGGGCAGAGGCCAGCATCTGCTTGCTTCTGGCCGGCAGGAGGTAGCGCTATAGCGCTGCCCTGCGCTCCATCGGCGAGCCCGTGCAACAGCGAAGCGTGCGATGGCCTCTGTGAGCGACGCGCCCTCGCCTCGTCAGTCCGGCGGGCGCGACGCCGCGCCACGCTGCAGGCAGAGCATCGCGGCAAGCTCTGCCGACTCGCAGTTGGCCGACGGAGCCTCGTTGCACCTTCTCGCCGCTGCCACCTCCGCCTGGCATCCGCCCTGCCGCGTCAGCTCGAGCACCAGCAGCACGTCACGCCCGCAGCGCTGGTATGCGTGCAGCGCCGGCAGGCAGAGGTCGCTCTGCGGCGACGGCTCTGACACGAGAAGCATCGGGTCGAGAGACAGCCCATGGTTCCGGAGGCACTGGGTGAGCGCCTCGGAGGCGGCGCCGCACTGCACCTGTGGGGGGAGGGGAGAGGCACATGGCGGGGAGACACTCACGGGGAGAGGGGAGAGGGGTGGTTGAGGGAAGGAGCGATTGATTACGAGGGAGGAGGGGAGGGCACTGGCCTGCAGCGTCGCAGAGCCAGTGAGGTGTGTCCGCAGCCTGCTGAGCCCACTGGACGCTGCTCGGAAAGGAACAGGACCATCCCGGCCGGAGGACATCGTCACCCGGGGGATCCTAGCCGCAATGAGTCGGCGCACCTGTCGGCGCCCCGAGCCGTGCATCCAAAAGGAAGAAAACTGAGTTTATGATCGTCCTTCCAAGATCCCGTGCCCGTGCAGGTGGGAACCCTGTCCTTCTCCCACACTTCCACTCCTTTGTTTTCTTCCTTCATTTAGAGAGAGAGATGTTTTTGTTGTTCATTTAGAGAGAGAGAGAGATTTGTTGTTCATTTATGGCCTGACACGCGAGTTCTACAAAACCTATAGCGCACGTCTTTACCTTGGTGTTGCCACGGGCACGGCGGCTCCCCACCCGCGCGGCCCAGTAACGCGCAATCTCCGCTCACAGGGCAGCTACATCGACCGCGTTCTCGTCGAGTGCCAGCCGGTCGCCGTGGTGCTGCCCGCGCGGTCTTACCGCCTCCCCGAGCGGCTGGCTAAAGCGCGAGAAGGTGAACTCGCTCGTCGCGTACGGCGACGACACCTCGTACAGCCCCGGCGTCCCTGTGAACAGCGCGAGGGGGGTGAAGCGGCGTCTCGTGGGGCGAGGCTGAAATGGAGCTCGTGACGGGGGGGGGGGCACCCTCGACCGCCCCCTCCGCCATCGCACTCGTTGCAAAGTGCCCCTCCAGCGGGTAGTCGTCCACCTGAAGTGTGTGACCACGTCTCTTGAGCCTCACCGTGAATGGCGCGGATCCTAGGCCCCTCTTCTCACGAGAGGATGCGCGATGCGGGATCTGCTCTACCATCGCCCGTTACCGCCGCCACCTTGCCCTCCCGTCGCGCCGGCGCCGAGAAGGACTGGCCAATCAGGCCGTGCGGCATGGCGAGGGCGGCCGTGTCGCTGTCTGCTGCGGTGAAGCTCATATCGAGCCGGTGCGCGGGGCCGGAGAGGCGGCCGTACACGTTGTTTCCTCGCACCTGGAGGAACCATGTCCGTCAGGCCGCCAGGCCTCCCTCGACGCCTGCGGAGCCGCACACCCCGCTCCCGAACCCCCTACACGCGCCTTGATGCTCCAGCCGTGGACTGCAAACACGGTGCTCGCGAAGCCGACATTCACCGCGAGCTCCTGTTCACAGCCATGCGGGTGAACGGGTACTCCGTTCCGACTGCCAGAGTGCCCCGTGACGGTGCGGGCTCCTCGCAGCGCCGCTTCTCTCCCATGCCGAGGCTGAAGCCGCCGCCGCCGCAGCTGCCGTTCACCACCCGCCACCCCGTATTGAACTCGGACAGCTCGGACGCCCAAAAGGAGGCGGTCGCGACCTGGAGGGGAGGAGGGAGGTGGCGCAGGGTGAGTGGGAGTGCGCGGCCAGCTGTAGACACTTGCGAGTTGGCCGCCTTGCGCTTTTTGCCGCCGACGAGCGCCACGATGTGGACCTCGGTGATGAACGAGCCGTCGACCTCCAAGTGATGGTGGTTTTTATTGAGAAGAAATGATGCATCCTATTCGGAGAGAAAAGGAGGTGACGAGTCGGCAAGCGGTGCGAGCCGCTCGTGTAGCACGGGATTATCCTCCGTCTTGACGTTGACCGCCAGTCCAGGCGCCGAGAAGAAGGCGTACATTTGGCCGTGCTTGCCTCGAAAGTCGGCGCGGCCTCCGCGGGCAAGGTAGAGGTGCGGGTCCTTCCGTGAGGGAGGGGAGAGGGATCAGTCCGGTCGTTTGCTTGGCACATCTAGAGCACATATCAGCTGCGCGTCGCCTGCTTCACACCGCTCTCATGGGTCGAGAACTCCGCCGCCACGGCGCCTTGCAGCGGTGGCGGCGGCGGCGGCGGCGGCGGTGGCTGCGAGGCTTGCTTGGGGGCGAGCCACGCGTTCGCGTCCCCTGCGCCGTAGCTATAGCTGCTTCCTCCAAAGGTCGCTGCCTGCGGATCGGGCGTCGCTGCGCCGTATGAGTAACCAATCTCTGGCGCTGGCGCTCCAACCTCGAATACGGTTGTTTGCTGTTGGGTCGGGACGTCGGCGGCGACCTCGGGCGGGGGCGGCGGCGAAGGCTCGGGCGGGAAGGGCGAGGGCGGGGGTGAGACTGGCGAGGGTGGGGGCGAGAGGACGGGCGGCGGCGGCGGCGAAGGCTCGGGAGGGAAGGGCGAGGGCGGCGGCGGCGAGATGTTGGGAGGGGGTGGCGGGGACGGCTCGGGAGGGAAGGGCGAGGGCGGAGGGGCGGCGAGGTGACGGACGGAGCGACTCCTGGCGGACATCTGCGGCTTAGGGTAATCACAGGCTACCGGCTGAAAGGGGGCGGGCAGCGGCGGTACGGGGCAGTCGAACTGGTTCCCCTCGCCTCCCGGCGCGACCGGATCAGCGAGGGAGCAAAGGTCTGACCGAGGCGGCGCAAAGCGAGACACCATGCCGCAGAACCGGAGATTTGCGAGCTCCGCCGGGATCCCGCCGCTCAGGCGGTTGCGCGAGACGTCCAGGGAGCTCAGATGCAGGTGGTCGCCTGTAGGCGGTGGCGAGGAGTGGGGCCAGCTCGAGCTTCCTGGCTCTGCGGTGGTAGGCGGGCAGAGATGGCAGAGATGGAGGGTGGGATTGCGGGGGTGGGCACCAAGCTGAGGCGGGATGGTGCCACTCAGCCGGTTGCCGCTGAGTTGCAGGTACCGCAGGCTGGGAATGCCACTTAGGGGCGGGATCGAGCCGCTCAGTGCGTTGTCGTGCAGCACGAGGTGCTTGAGCGCCGTGATGCGACCGAGCTGTTTGGGGCGAGCGGGGAAAAGTCGGCGCTTTGAGGGTGGCTGCGAGGTCCCTGGCTGAGACTGGAAAGGAGTGGCACTCTCCATGACTTTGGCGTGAGGGGGGCGTCACCTCTGGTGGAATAGTGCCCGATAGCGCATTGTTAGCAAGGTCGATTGAGACAAGTTGCCGTAGTCGGCTGAGCGAGGCTGGGATTGTGCCGGTCAGGGAACTCCCGGGGAGACTCAATGTGTCTCCCCTAAAGCTGCCGTTGCAAGCTGTGGGAACGCGGCCGCAGATGGTCTGTGCCATTCCCAGTCTGCCCGAACTCCCTCTCCTCGCCAGGCCAGCGTTTCGGGTTACGAACTCAGCGTAATATCGTCTATTTATGAGAAGATTGAGTTTTGTCTCAGGCGGCAATAAACGGATTGTCAAAATAGCTCTGGGCGCTGGTAAATGCTGAGCTTGTCCGCCCGAGCCTGGCCTCGCACCCAGAGGATCCCACAACTGGCAAGGGCCGCGACGACGGCGAGCACCACCCCACTCGCGTACACGTTGGTGATCTCGTTGAGGGCGAGCGGGAAGAAGCCACTGATCGCCGCTGCCGTTGCCATGACCAGGCTGGTGCCCTTGCTGCGGGTCTCCACGGGGAAGATGGACGTCGCAAGCAGCGGCGCGTTGAGGATCCACACCGTCGAGACGATGGGGAAGGCGACCTATGGCGTGGCAGGATTGCGTGAGCGGCGAGGCCGTTGACGGCGCGACAGACCTGGGACAAGCGGTGGGCACCGAGATTAGCATCCATGTGCTGATGACGCCACCAAATTCGCTGGCCGTCATCATAGGAAGGGCCAACACGCTGCACATGATCCCACCAAAGGCGCATGCCCCATACCAGCCTCTCAAGTCGGCGAGCAAAGCTGCTAGGGGTGTCATCCCCACTTGGACCGCCTTTCCCACCACCTGCATCAGTGTTGCGGTACTCACGGAGACCCCGTAGTGCTCCTTGGCGTACGAGACCTAATCACAGCAGCAGGCGGTGAAGACGGGCTCTTGATAGAGAGCTCCAAAGCAGCAGAACGAGAGGCCATGTACACGTTGAGGTTGTTGTAGGCCGCGATGGCAAACTGAACGTAGATCGAGACAACGATTACAAGCCAAGGCGGGTCCCGCGACATCGTAGTAGAAGCTGGGATGGGCACTTTGGGCGAGCTCTCATAAATCGACCCTAGGCGAGGGCCCACAGAGGTGGTCCTCATCGGGGCCGCCGGGTTGACCACTGCGTCCGAGACGTCGTTCTTGATGGACTCATTGTGCTTCAGGACAACAACATCATCGTCCGTGGTGGCAAATTCGTTCGACTCAGGAACCGAGGTGTGCATCAGGTAGCTCGCCAGCATGCTGGGCGGAACCACCGCCAGGAAGGCGAGCCGCCAGCCCCATGCGGCATAGGTTTCGCTGCCGAGCACGGAGCGGAGGCCAAAGACGATGGCGGCAGAGAGCATGGAAGCGGCGGCTCCACTGGCGTTGTTCACGCCGACGGACTGCGCGAGCGCCCCCTTTCGGTCAGAGGTCGACCACAGCTCTGACTGGATCACGTTGATTCCTCCCGCGGCGGCGCCCGCAGAAAAACCCTGGACGCAGCGCAGCGCAACCGCCGGCACCGCGCTTTTCCAAACGGCGCCAACGCAATAGTCGATTGTTACGCCCTCTTCTCCGCACACCGCGGGAATTGTGGCCATCAACGCCGTCGAAAAGGCCATGCCGAGCATGGCCACGAGAAAGCTGCTTTTTCGCGAGTACGCATCGGACAGCTTTCCCAACACAAAGGCCCCGACCGGTCGGAACGCGTAGCCCAGTCCAAAGGTTGCCCAACTGGCGGTTTCGCTCCCGGCAAAAAGCTGGACCGATATGTCCGACTGCGAGTATCCGTAGATGCCAAAGTCCAGCCACTCGAGCATGTTGCCAAGCATGACTACCAGCGAGGAGCTGTAGAGCTGGAGGACGAGAGACCAGTACTTACCCGCATCGGAGCGGGGGAGCGGCACTGTGCCGCTCTCGCAATTCGTTGAGATAATAATGGTGCTCGGTAAGGTTGCGGCGCGCGTCGTCGGGGGGGATGGCGCTGGCGTCGCGCTGGTCCGTCCCCTCCGTCCAGAGCGAGGACAAGAGGCTGTGAATTGCGCGCGGGCCTTCTAGGCCCGCGGGTAGTCTCCCCCCATCCCCAGGGCCTCCAGGGCTCGCACCTCAACCTCTCATAGACCGCTGCGCAAAGCGCATAGGTAGGATGTATTTTCTTCTCAATAACAAGGTCTGTCTGTGAAACAGCGCCATAGTCATAGGACGCATTTTTCTTCTCAATAACAAGGTCTGTGAATGCTGCTGAGACCGGTGAGTACTTGCTTGAGCACTTGAGCACTGGATAGGGTCGATTCCGCATGGTACGGGACCCCTCGATCGTCTCGCCCTCCCTCTCTGGCGTGTTCATTGGGGGGGGTCATAACAAACACGGTACAGGATCGAGGTGCACGCTGCCGAAGCAGTGTCGTCCCCCCTCTCCCCGACGGCGATGGCGGTGTGACCGATCGAGCCACAAGAGGAGCTTGTTCAGCAGGATCCGGGATAGTCAGATGCACTACCTCACTGGGCCTGAGACCATCGTACGACAGTACTTGCTTGTACGTACGTACTTTTAGCTTACTGGGAGAAAAGGGAGAGGGGGGGTGTGCTCTCTTGTGGCCTCTCTCTACTTGTACGACCCGAGCTACGCGCCGACGCTGGAAATCGGACAAACTGTGGTCCACGCTGAACAGAATGTTCAACCCGAACTCTGTCGAGCCTTCGCTCGGATGGGCTGTAAGGTAGTGTAAAGCCGTAAGCCTTTCCCCTCTCAGTGTGTACATACAGTGACAGACACGAGACACAGTGGGATTCCTGTGGGATTCAGTGTGTTTCAACAAGTGGAGCGTGGAGGTGTCTCGTCTCGGACTCGGTCTCAGCTCCCTAGCTGTCGGTGGCCTGTGCTCTTCTGAGACCTGTGCGGTGTGTCTCGCCAGAGTGCAGAGAGTGTGGTCGAAACTCGAATCTGTGCACATACACGCGTGTGCTGATCCTGCGCGGTGTCGGGCGCGAGGTCAGATCCATCTACTCTGTTGATGACAAGACTTGTCTACCGGCTGCGGGCTGGAGCCGCGAGCAGGAGGGCCCGGCGCACAACCCCCCTGGTCAACTCACCCTCCACACCCCGTAGGAGTCTCCTGTTCTCTTGCGCAGAGATTTCCATTACCTTCACGAGATATGGACCGGGGCACGCTGAAAATTTATTTACTCTCTCAGGTGATGCGATGATCCTGCGGCGCTCTGGAGCTCCACACTGTGCTGAAACGGCGGCGCTGCGCGCACACAATGGTCAATGCCGCAGCACGCGCCCCCGGCTCTACCGCCTCGCGGCCGAAGCGGCCTTGACCGCCACGAGGCCGATCGTCGCCGCTAGGCTGCTCGCCGCGATGACGCCGCCAAGAAAAGCGGCGGCGGGCGGCTGCGCCTCGGGGGTGGCGGGCTGCTTGGCGGCAGCCTTGGCCGGAGCGGCGCTGCGGACGGTGACCGTGAGGCGGCTCTTCCCCGCGGAGATCGTGGTGCTGATTGCTTCGGCGAGCGACTCGTCGCAGTGGATGAGCGCCTGTGCGCGGGCGGTGCGGCGTGAACGCGCGAGGCGTCCCGAGCGGCAAAGCGCCTGCTGATCTCGGCTAGAAGTATCGACTAGATCTCGGCCAAGGCTCGGCGAGTGTTGGGGGGAAGTGAGAGCACGCCTGGTCGCCGTCCTCGTCAACATAGACCAGCGCGCGGATGGCTGGCGACCCCTCGGCGAGTAGCCGCTGCACCCGCCTCCGCAGCTGCGCCCAACCGCCGCCGCTGTGCGGCACTCGCTGCACGGCGCTGTCCCCGTCCTCGCCCGTGCGGACCTTGAAGGTGAAGCGGCCGCGCGGCGGCACGGGCGGCGGCGGGGCCGGGGCAGGGCTGCCCGCCGCAGAGACGGAGTCCTCCGGCCGCACCTACTCACGCGCTTGATTCGGTGAACAGCGCCTCGCGACGTGCGAGACGGTGCCTTGCCCGAGCCGGCGCCTCTGGTGAGAGCGGCACGCCTCCCACCGCAAGGCCCGACCCCGAGACCTCGAGACCCCTCGCGTCCTCGAGGCCGCGCGGCGGCGGGTGCACCGGCTGCTCCGACTGCCGCTGTGCCGAGAGGGCGGCTGCCCAGAAGGAGCGCAAGTGCGCGCGGTCCGAGGAGGCGCACACGTGCGAGAGCGACGCGCAGACGAGCTGGAGAACGTCGAGCAGCGCGAGGGGCGCCCCGCCGCCCGCCGCCCCGCCGACCGCTTCGGCGCCGCTGCCGACAACGAGCGCGTGGCTCGCGCGCTCATCTTGCAGCACCGAAAGCACCGTCAGCACCGAGGCGTTCGCCGGAGGCGTCGGCGGCGGCGGCAGCATGCAGTCGCGTGCCGTGGCGCCGTCGAGGCCAACCTCGCCGGCCAACGTGCGCAGGAGCGAGCGCGGGGTGACGAGGCCGAGGACCTCGCCGCCGGCGTCCGCCACGAGCACCGCGGTCGCCGCCGCCGAGAGCAAGCTAGCGGCGTGGCGGGCGGTCGCGTCGGGCGGCACGAGCGGCGGAGGCTGCGCCTTATCGACGAGGCCGCCGAGTGTCGGCGTGAGGACCGACCGCAGCGCGGGCCCGAGCAGAGAGTCGCCGCTGCCGCGCGCGGCCGGGTCGAGGGCACGAATGATGGCGCTGTCCTCCGCCCTCGCGCACTCGAGCAGCTCAATGGCGTCGAAGAGGCAGCGGGTGACGTCGAGGAGGGCGAGGGGAGCGCTCGCCTCTGCGAGCACGACGAGGTGGCGGAAGCGATTCTGAGTTAGGGTTGAGAGCGCGTCGACGGCGGAGCAAGCGCGGTCGACGGCGCGCGGCGCCGGCGTCATCACCTCTGCGACAGTCAGCACCTCTGGCGGAGGCGCGCCGTCGCCAGCCACCGCCTTCCGCGCGAGGTCGGTGGCGGTGACGATGCCGGCCAAGCTCCCGTCGGAGGAGGTCACAAGGACCGCCTCGACGCGCCTCTCTGTCATGAGGCGCGCCGCCGCGGCGACACTCGTCTCGCTGCCCACCAGGATGGCCGGCGGGGGGGAGAGGTCCGACACGGACCGCGCGACTCGCGGCGCTGCGTCGCGGCGGCGCGCCGCTCCCGCCGCCCTCGCAGCCTCGATGCCCAAGTCGGTCGGTGACTCGGCAGCAGTGACGAAGCTGAGGCGGGAGAGCGCCTCCGCCGTGGGGGAAGCTCCGCCGCCACCCCCTCCGCCTCCCCCGGCGGCGGCAGCGCCAGTCGGGAGGGCGCCCGAGGCGGCGAGAGTCGCCACTCTCGACGGGGACGGCTCGCCGCGGCACTGCTTCTTGTGCGGCGGCTCCGCCCTCGCGCGCTCGCGCTCGTCCCTCCGGCGCAGGCAGCGCCTCCATCGCGCAAAGGCGCACCGCTCGGCCGAGGCGGTGGCGAAGGCGAGCACCACCGCCTCCCGGAGCCGGACGCGGGCGAGCGCGCCACGGAGTGCAGCCTGGCACGAGACGGCCGCCGCAGCCCTCGCCGCAGCCCTCGCCGCCGCCGCGCGGGCGCCCCGCGCGAGCGTGTTCGCAGCGGCGGCGCAGCGGAGTGTGAGCCAGGCCTCGAGGCGGCGGTGGAGCGCGTCGCGGTAAAAGGTGCGGGTGCGGCCGCACTGCCACTCTGCCGCTCCAGCCGCACCAAGGGCGCCCTCCCCCTCGCCGCCGTCCCGGGCCGCTGCCGCCGGCGCGAGGAGCGCGCAGACGCGGGCGCAGGCGTCGGCGGCGCCGAGCTGCGCGCGGTCGGGGCGCGGGAGGAGGCCGCCGTACCGACGCACGAAGGCGGCGTGCGTGCACCGGTACGGATAGCCCTGCTGCCGGACGGTGGCGGCGGCGAGGATGCCGAGGGCGGAGAGCTGCTCGCGCACCGCCGCCGGGTCGAACCGCCACGCCTCCTTCTGGCGGTTGGACTTGACGCAGCGGACGTACCGCCGCGAGCCGGAGTCGAGCCGCGCCATCAGGTCGGCGAGCGAGGCGCGGAACTGCTCGCTCACCTACTCACCATCAGCGGGGTGTTCACTCCCTGATGAGCCAGTCACAGACGGCGAGCGAAAGTGCTCGCTCACCGAACGCGCGCGCATCTTTGGCGACCGCTCGTCCGGCGCGCCGCCGTCGCCCCTCCGGGCGGCGGCGGTGCCGTCGCCGAGCGGCGCGAGGACGCGGCCGGCGGCCGCCTCTCTGCCGGGCGGCTGCCTCGCGTGCGCCTCTCCAAGCAAGTGGCTCTGGTTGTCGCGCAGCCACGGGCTGGCTGCGGAGGAGAGGAGGCGGCGGAGGTCGTGCGAGAGGGAGCCCTTGTTCTTCTTGCAGAAGCCGGCGACCTGGTAAGGCACCTCCTCGGCGTAGTGCAGCACCGCGAAGTTGCTCCGCCCGCCGCCGATGCGTGGCACGCGGTAGCGCGGGTGCGGCGAGGCGGCCCGGGGCCCGTGCGTGGCGTGCAGCGACTGGAGGAGGAGCTGGTCCGCGGCGCTGTCCTGCGCGAGCCGCCACGTGTCGTCCGTCGCCGAGAGGATCCTCCCGATGAGCTGCACCGCCGGGGCCGAGTCGAGCCACTCCACGTGCGGCGTGGCGATGCCCTCCTCCCCGTACAGCCGCACCTCGCGGCCGATGATGTGCTCGTTGAAGTGCTGCTGCAGCGTCTCGTTGGCGAGGTTGATGAGCAGCTGCTCGAACCCGCTGACCGCAAAGCTCTCGAAGCCGTAGATATCGAGGATCCCGATGCCACGCCGCGCACCGCCCTCCTCGTCGCCATCGCCTCCGCCGCCTCCGCCGCCTCTGCCGCCTCCGCCGCCTCCGCCGCCTCCGCCTCCGCCTCCGCCTCCGCTCAGCGCCTCGTTGCAGACGGCGACGAGCCACTTGAAGACTCCAGCGTACAGCACGGTCGCGAGCGCGTCTCGCTTGGCCGCCGCCTCCGAGGCGGAGAGCGGCCGGAAGATCTCGACCAGGCCTCCGCTCGAGCGGCGCCGCCGCGAGCCGCTGCACGGCGCCACGAGCCGGCGGCGGCAGAGCGCTCCCTCGAGCTCCTCGGTCGAGGTGCCGAGCAGCGAAGCCACCTCCGCCAGACGGGCTGGATCCTCGGGGAAGGCCTGGCCGCCCTCCCGCGGGTCGGCGGAGGGGCTGTCCCCGCCCCCGAAGCGGACCTCGCCCAGCAGCAGCACGGCGGCCAGCACCGCCCAGAGCTGCCTCCGCCCCTCCGCCCCGAGGCCCATCTCGGACAGGAGACCAGACACCTCGCCAAAGCCGGCGGCGCCGTACCGCTCGCCGGTAGCGGTGGCGGTGGCGGCGGCGGCGGCGGTGGTGGCGGCGGCGGTGGCGGCGCCCTCGCCGTCGAGGTACGAGAAGCGGCGGGCCGTGGCTGGCGAGGCCGCGTCCGGGAGAAGGAGAGCCGCGCGCGCCCGCTCACATAGCTCGGCTGGCGGCGCGTGCAGCAGTAGGTAGAGGATGTGGAAGTTGCCCTCGCCGGCGGCGGCGCCGGTGACACGCGTCCGCTCGAGCAGGAAGTCGACGATGCGCGCGCCGCAGATGCGCGACGGCGCGGTGGCGGCGGAGGAGGCGGCGGTGGCGGAGGAGGCGGCGGAGGAGGAGGCGGAGGCGGAGGCGGAGGCGGAGGAGTAGTGCACCTCGATGAGCTTCCCGAAGCGGCTCGAGTTACTGTTCCGCCCGGTGGAGGCGTTCCCAAAGGCCTCGAGCAGCGGGCTGGTGGCGAGCAGGAGAGCGGGGAGCGGAGCCTCCTCCTCCAGCTGCGCGATGAACTTGAGGACCGACTTGGCGCACTCTGTCTTGCCGGCGCCGGACTCGCCCGAGACGACAATGTACTGCTTGCCTGCTGCCAGCTCGGCGTGCGCCGCAGCCGCGACGGCGAAGACGTGCGGCGATGTGGCGCCCTGCGTGTAGTCCTCGAGGAGGACCGCGTCGTCGGCCGAGGCGTCGGAACCGCGAGGCGCCCACGGGTTGAGAGTGAGCAGGATCTCGCCCACCCACGTCGCGTTCTGGCGGGAGGCGAAGCGGCGCTCGACGGTGTCAGCGATGGTGTCGGCCGAAAGGACGTCGAGCGAGAGGAGGTCGTCGGTGGCAGACGTGGCCTGATCGCTAGCAGGCTGGCCTCCTCTCGCGCCGCCGCCGCGTCGGCGCGCAGGCCTCGCCGCTCCGCCTCGAGCGAGTTGACCTGGCCCTCGTACGACCGGATGTCCTCGCCGCCGCGCCTCCTGGAGCTCTGCGTGAGCGGCGTCGCCGTCGACCGGGGCGCTGAGCGCCTGGAGCTGCCGATCCAGCACAGCCATTCGTTTGAGCACCAGCCGAGAAGAAGAATTCTTGTCAAGAACAGCACAGATCAGGGAAACGTGGCGCAAGAGTTCTTTTTCTCGTCCTTGTACCCCCCCATAAACGCCAAGGACCAGGTGCCAACGTGGTGTGATGTCTGCCCTCCGAGGGTTGCGGTTGGCCTTCGGCCTTCTTTCACTCCGTATCACATTCGGCCTTCTTTCACTACGTATCACATTCGGCCTCCTCTCACTACGTATCACATTCGGCCATCTCTCACTCCGTATCACATTCAGCCTTCTCTCACTCCGTATCACATTCAGCCTTCTCTCACTCCGTATCACATTCGGCCTTCTAGCTTCTTCCACTACGTATCACATTCGGCCTTCTCTCACTACGTATCACGTTCGGCCTCCTTGCACTACGTATCACATTCGGCCTTCTCTCACTACGTATCACATTCGGTCTGCTTTCACTACGTATCACCTTCTTTCACTAAGTATCACATTCGGCCTTCGTTCACTACGTATCACATTCGGCCTTCTTTCACTACGTATCACTTTCAGAGTATCCAAGAGGGTCGTAGGAGACATGCCCCGATTCAACCGTCTTGCGGGGCAAAAAAAGTGTTATCTACGGGGCGCGGAGTGCTTGTTGGCGAACCAAAATGGTGTTTTCCGAGGCGCTGCGCTAGGCTCAGAGCGAGTTCGCGCTGCGCTAGGCTCAGACGGCGAGTTCGCGCTGCGCTAGGCCCAGACGGCGAGGTAAGGTAAGGTAAGGTAAACTTCTTTCTCCACACACACGAGGTGGTGGGGCAAGGGGGGGCAACCCTCGCGTCTCCACGTCTAACGACAGGAGCCCCACGGCATTTAAAGTGCAAGGCCCGGTGCGCGTGGGTGGCGAGTTTCCGGGAGGGTCGTCTGCGGTTTGGGAGGCATACCCGTATGTGTAGACCGGTCAAAACGTCTTGAGGGCAAAAACATCATCAACCTAGCGCGGGACGGGTGAACGATATCGGGGTCGAAACAAGCGTAACGAATTTTCCTTTTCCTTGCCCTCACAGCTTCGCGCGGGAGACTCGACCGACTCGACTGGCCGCCGACCTCTCCCCACAACACGCGGGAGGGTCTTCCCATACTATAGTAGATTACAGTAGGCGGTGAGCGTGAGGGCGCCGAGGGAGTGGCCAAAATCCTGAGGGAGGGTGTAGAGATGTAGATATAGCGCTCTGGAGCGCTGTACCTGTTGCTGTCAATAAAATTCCACTTCAGAAACATTCCACTTCGAAGTCGCACCGGACGGTAAGCATGTTGGTTCTGCGCTCAAACCGCAACGCGCTGCGCGTTGCGCCCGCCAAGGTTTCGTTGCAGGAGCGGCGAGCCGCCTCCAACGCTTGCGCCATCGCGGTCCTCGGCGGCCGCTTCCAGACCGTTCCGGAGGCGATGCGCCACCCGGACTTTGCAGACGCGACGCGATCACTCGCCGATAAGGCATTCGCGGCTATGAAGGACGAGCCTGATGCCAAAGCCGCTGCCATCGCGGTCGAGGTGGATCGCCGGCGCAGTGAGCACGCCACCTCGTCGGGTGAGCGCATCCGTTCCCTCGACCTCGAGAAGAAGGGTGATGCAGAGTACGTGCAAGAGCGGTTTGGCGAGCTATGCGAGCTGGCCGAGGCTGGCACCGCGTTCCCCTCGGCCGAGCTCTCCGCCTGGCGGCAGCTGTTCTCCGCGTCGGGCAAGGAGGTGCGGCGTGCGATGTGCTACCAGTTTCAGTTCTCCTTTTGGGCGGGCATCGTGGACCGCACGCCGGCAGACAAACACGCGCGGGGCAACGCAGCGGTGCGGGCGCGCGCGGTGGAGATCTTCGGCGAGGACGTCGCGTGGTGCGAGAAGAAGATTGCGACGGACGTCAAGGCGGGCGAGAGCACGGCGAAGGACGGGCGCGGCGCACCGCGCAGCTTCCCAAAGGAGATCGAGGACGTGCTGCTGCTGCTGGTTGACAAGCTGCGGCAGTGCAAGGTGCCGGTCTACAAAGCCACGGTGCTGGACCGTGCCATGGACCTGCTCAGCGACCACCAGGCGTCGCTGAACTTCGCCAAGGTCGAGGATGGCGATTACGTGCGCGACGAGACGGGCCACCTGACGAGGCGCCTGCGTTGTAGAGCGATGTAGAGCGCGATTTTGTTGTAGAGTTTGTTGTAGAGGCTCTACAGCAAACCCGCCGGGAAGGCAGTGACTCAAAGAGGTCGAGTCGCACTAATGGGGTGTCTCCGAGCTTACTGGAGCTCTGATGGACGGCCCTGACTATCCCTGACACACAGAGAGTCACTCTGACGGCACACAACACCCTAACTGCGTCATGACCAGCCTGCCATGCGTCGCCGCGGTGCCGCATTCGTCGCTGTGCTTCTTTAGCAGGCGGTGGACTGTCGGCTGCGAGGACGGTCGCATTTGCGTGAGGCGAGGCGAGCATTCAGGCGCGTTGCATGCGCCATGCCTCGCGCCAGCGCGTGCGGGAGCTCCTGGCCTGAGCGTTGAGTCCAAGCGAGTTGCGCTGGCCACGATCGCTGCGCCGAGCCGAGCTGACGCGCCGAGGCGCCGGCCAGTCGCAGCCGTGAGGCATGCCACAGCAGCAGAGGCACCTGCCACCCATTGGGCGGGCAGGCAGAAGGCCAGCCAGGGCAGCACTGGCAAGTGCAACGCGCCTCATGTCGGAGAGCGACCGCGCCTCGTTCGCCGCTTATGATGTAGAGTTTGTTGTAGAGATTTCACGTTGTAGAGAGCCTCTACATCGCTCTAGCTCTACAACGCACGCGCCTCGTCACGCGGCGGATGTAGAGCTCTACACCTCTACAGCGCTCTACATCTCTACAGCTCTACAGCGCTCTACACTCTACATCCTCTACACCCTCCCTCACTCAGTTCCTGGCTCTTGCGAACATACCCGAAGGTGGACTGCTGACAGTTTTTGAGAGAGAGAGAGAGATTTTTAGCACAATACCAAAAACAACTCTACGTTCAGTTTTTGCGTGAGGACTTGAGTGACATTTTTAGTAAAAAGAAAAGAAAGAATACAGACGAGCCCAAACGAGGGATGGGGGAGGAGGACAGGGTGAGCAGGATTTTGGAAGGACAAAAAGAAAGAAATAAACAAACATACAACCCAAGGGAGGGAAAGGAGGACGGCACGCCGCCACCACACAGGGATTTTAAGAAGAGGGGTGTGGTGCGCTAGCCGCCCCTCCCCTTAATATGTTCTGTTTCGGCAGTTTCTTTTTGACACCTTCATTTGCCCTCATTCCAGCCCTGCATCGGGCTTCCAGGGCTTCCAATGCACAGCCCGCCTCCACAGCGCAGCAAACTGTCGTGGCCGACGGCGGCGCACGGCGACACACCCAGCGTGCGCGGTCACCTCGCCGCTACGCTTTCGCTTGTGATGGTTCGCTCGCTCCTCCTCCTCGCCTGGAGGTGCATCACCACCTGTGTCGCGACCGCTGCTGCGCTCCTACTCTCCACGCACGGCCCAAGGCCGGCGGGGTTGAGGCGCACCCCGAGCGAGGTGCTCCGCCTGAGTCACCTGGACGCAGCCCCGTCGACGACGGAGATTGTTTTTGTCGGGGACGCGTCATGCGGCAAGAGCGAGCTCCTCTGCGAGGCGCTCCGTCACCGCCCCGTGGGCTTTGCCGCCGCCGACGAGGCGCCGGGTCTCGAGGCGCAGCGGGTCGGCGTCATCGTGTGCTCGGCCGTGCAGGCAGACGGTTTCGAGAGCCTCCTGCCGTACGTCAAGCGGTGGCGGCTCGCGCTGCGCCGCGACTTTGGCGGGCGGGTGCCGGTGGTGCTCGTCTGCACCAAGGCGGACCTCACCCCGATGCGGCTGCCGCTCATCCAAGCGCTCGAGGAGCAGGGCGTCGCCTGCCTGACCGTGTCGGCAAAGGTTGGGACCAATATTCGGCACCTTTGGCAGCTCTTTGCGCGCGGGCTGCCGCCTGCGCTGCTGTCGACGGCGGCGCGCCGCCACGGCCTCCTCCTCCGCCTCCAGGCGGTCGGGCGGGGGTGCGGCCCGCGCGCACGGCGCGCGCGGTGCCTGCGCGCAGTGCGGAGTATCCAGACGCAGGCGCGCGGCCGGCTCTCGCGACGGAGGGCCTCCCTCGCCGCCGAGCGAACGAGGCGCCTGCGCCGCCGCGCCGTCGGCGCCGCCGGCGCGTCCGCGTGCGCCGTATGTGCGGCCGCCGCCGCCGCACTGCAGCAGCAGCAGCAGCAGCAGCCGATGCTTCTCGACGCTCGCAGCGCGGTGTCCGCCCACTGCTCCTCTCTGCTGACGCCCGAGCTGCTCGACCTCGCGTATGGCGCACTCCTCGTCGCCGCCGTCGCCGCCGCCGTCTTCGTGCAGAAGGTCGGCCTGCCCATGCTGTTCCAGCTCCGCCACCGCGGCGTCGCTCGCTATCGCTCCCTCCGCTGCAGGGAGCGACTCCGCCTCCGCTCCGCGTGTGCGGGGTGCGCGCACCGCCTCCGCAGGGTGCGCGCGCTCGTCCCTTGGCCCGGGGCGCACCCGTCGCCGGCCCGACCGCCGCCGCTCCAGCTGTCGGATGCCCCGCGCCCGAGCGCCGCGCCGCTCGGCGCCGCCGCAGTCGAGGCGTGCGCCGAGATGATGGAAGCCTTTGAGAAGCGCGCAGAGTCGCCCGCCAGCCCCGGCCGGCGCGCTCCACGCAGCCGCAGCGCCTCCGGCCGCCTGCCCACCCTCTGCGAGAGGGGAGACGGGTTCGGCCCCCTCGCGCTCCGGCGCGTGCTGACCTTCCCCTGAGGCGCTCCGGCCAGAGGCGCCTATCCGCAGCCCGAGTAGTGTGTTGACAGTGGCGGTGCGTGATTTATTGTTGACAGTGGCGGTGCGTGATTTATTGAGCGAGCGTGGCGTTCTTTGGAGCGTATTGACTTTGTGTGTACGTATGCGTGAGTGTGTGTGTGTGTGTGTGTGTGTGTGCGAGCGAGTACGTATGTGCCTCTTGTACGTATATTATTTTATTAATCTACCAGCTATACCACATTTTCTGGCTCGCAGCTCTCACAAACAGAAACACACATGGAAAAAGTCTCCTTTGCAGTATGAATGTGTATACGTGCTCGTGCACGAGAGGTGCACCAACCGCAGAACGTCGTGTTTTGCCTTTGAAAACTGAACAGATTTTTTTTGTGCGTCTCTCGCGTTCTCACTTTTCTCTCCACACTCTAGCGCCGCCGTGTCGCGCACACATAGTGCGCACATGCTCTCTCCTCAAACTCACAGTCATGCTCTCATGGCTATGCACCGGCTCGCTCTCTTAGAGGACTAACTACACTCTACATGAATCCGGCGACGAGGCCGACGATGACTGCTACGAGCGCGACGGCGAGCCCGTCGTTCACGCGACTAGACCTGGATCCGTGCCGTCCTCGGATCCGCAGGTCGCCCTCCGTCTCGCAATCCCCCGCGCCTTGCGCAGCCTGCGGCGCGGCGGCGGCGGCGGCACGTCCGCCCCCCCCGCCCCCCACCCCTCCCAGCTCGACCCCGCGCGGCTCGTCGCCCGCCTTGCCGCCCGCGTGGTGCGTCTCGTCCGGCAGCGAAGCAGGCAGCCACTCCGTGGGGGCGGGATCCTTGGGGGCGGGAGCTGCTCGCCGCCCGCCCTCGCCGCCGCAGGAGCACTTTGCCAGCAGCGTCTCGTCCACCGCCCTCCCCTCCCCACCGTCCGCCCCCTGCGCCGCCCAGCTGACGGCGGCGTGCGTGGCGAGGCAGGCGAGGCAGAGGAGGAGGCCGGCGTACAGAAAGTGGAGCCGCACGAAGAGTGCGTCGGCGGCGGAGCCGGGCCGCGGCGGGTGCAGCTTGCACCACACCTCGCCCGCCATCCGGCCGAAGCCGAGAGTGTACCCGACGGCGAAGGAGGCGGCGGCGCCCGTCGCGTTTGCGCGCCGCCAGAGCACGCCTACCCGCAGACCCGGCCACGGGTCTGGGCGGGCAGGCCACGCTCGCGCCAAGTGCGGCGGGGGAGGGGGAAGGGGCCGAGGAGGTAGACAGAGACGATGGGCGGCGCGAGGTACGCCATCACCGCCTCCTTGTAGAGGAAGATCTGGTCGGAGAGCACGTCGATGATCGGCAGCCAGAGGAGCGTCAGCACCGCGAGCAGCGCGCAGAAGGCCTGGCCGACGCGGACCACCTGCAGTGGTTGTACGGAGCTGACAAGGCATTGCACACCTCGGAGATGGCGCAGTCGCAGCCGACCTCGTGCGGGGAGGCGGCGGGGCGGAGCCAGCCGCGGTAGAGGTCGAGGCAGAAGAGGGAGGCGGCGGCGGTGAAGACGGAGTCGAGCGAGGACATGCACGCCTTGGGGTGTGAACGACGCCTCCTCACCCCCCCTGCCCTGTGGGGGCCGAGTCGAGGGAGGGGGTGCGCACCGCGACCGCCGCGGCGAGGTTGAGGCCGAGGAGGCCGGGCGGCAGCGTGTGCTGGAGCAGGAGCGGGAAGGCCTGGTTGGGAGTGGCTGTCCCGTTGGCGGGGTAGAGCTCGGCGTCGAAGAGCTTGCGCGCGATGATGCCGGGGTCTGGGGGGGGGGGAGGTGCGCGGCGGCTGGCTCGAGAGGGGTGGAGGAGGAGGAGGGCTTTGACGGGAGGAGGAGGAGGAGGCGAGAGGCGGGCGGCACGCGCAGGCCATCAGGAACATGGGCGTAATCTTGAGGAAGCCGGCGAGCAGGCAGGAGGCCTGATCCATCCACGGCAAACTCAACTCCGAGTCCCCTCCCTCTCTCGAGGAGGCGGGGAGGGACTTGGCGTGGTGGGCGACTGATCCTCTCGGCTCCTCTCGGCCCCTCTCGGCTCCTCTCGGCTCCTCTCGGCTCCTCTCGGCCTCTCGGCTCCTCTCGGCTCCTCTCGGCTCCTCTCGGCCCCTCTCGGCTCCTCTCGGCTCCTCTCGGCTCCTCTCGGCCTCTCGGCTCCTCTCGGCTCCTCTCGGCTCCTCTCGGCTCCTCTCGGCTCCTCTCGGCTCCTCTCGGCTCCTCTCGCCCCCTCTCGGCCCCTCTCGGCCCCTCTCGGCCCCTCTCGGCCCCTCTCGGCCCCTCTCGCCCTCTCGGCCCCTCTTGGCCCCTCTCGGCTCCTCTCGGCTCCTCTCGGCCCCTCTCGGCCCCTCTCGGCCCCTCTCGGCCCCTCTCGGCTCCTCTCGCGGGCGGGCCTTGGCATGGTGGACGGTGCGGGTGGAGAGCACGCGCTGCACGATGGCCTGATCGAGGCACCAATACCACACGCCTGCACCGCGGCCTCGCGTCACACGAGGCTGGCGGGGCCGAGGCGGGCGGGCGGCGGCGGGCGGGGCGGCGGCGCTCGCCAGCGACGTGCTGGCCGAGGAGCATGCCGAGGGTAGGGAAGGAGGGGTCGTCGGGCGGCTTGTAGATGTGGAAGAAACGAGACCACACCTATCACAGTCACTAGTCATGCCTCGTGCCTCATCGTGCATGGTAGATCTGGAAGGAGCAACACTCTCCTCGCTGGTCAGCGAGGGGGGGGGCTCGCTGCGCAGCCCGCTCATCCCGCCCACTCGCCCGAACCCGACGGCGGTCATCGTGACGGCGCCAACCAGCATCACGACCGACTGGGCGACCTATGAGAACCTCCGCAAGTGGTAGCCCGTGGTTAGCGACCAGCATCACCACCGACTGGGCGACCTATGGTTGGCGAAGGAGGAAGGATGGACTGGTGTGACAGTTGCTGTTGCGGGAAGGCGGGGTCGGCGACGTCGGTGACGATGACCGCCGCGAGGCCGCCCACCGCGGTGTAGCAGGCGGTCAGCCCGACCAGCCCGGCGGCGGCGATCCACCTCGGCCAGCCAAAGACGGAGGTGAGCACCGTGGCGGCCGAGTAGATGGAGACGGAGAGCTTGGTGAGAAGGTAGAGGACGAGCGAGATGAGCGAGAGCCAGCGGCGGAGGCGCGGGCCGTACCGCCGGCCGAGGTACTCGGGCAGCGTGGCGATGCCGCAGCGCAGGTAGACCTGCCGGCGTCATCGGGCAGCGGCAGGGAGTCAGAGAGAGAGAGAGAGAGAGAGAGAGAGAGAGAGAGAGAGAGAGAGAGAGAGAGAGAGAGAGAGAGAGAGAGAGAGAGAGAGAGAGAGAGAGAGAAGAGAGAAGAGAGTTGTGTGTGTGTGTGTGTGAAGGAGAGATAGAGAGTAGAATGAGTAGACCGGAGCAAATAGCCAGCCGAGCAGAAGAAGGTGGAGCGCGGCCGACCACTCAAAGTAGGCACAGGCGACTCCGGTGGCGGATGCCGAGCCCGCGAGCCCCAGGAGGTGCTCCGACCCTACGTTGGAGACAAAGAGCGAAAGCCCTACCGCTGGCCAGCGCATACTGCGGCCCGCGAGGAAGAAAGATTCTGCTTCGTCCTGCCCACCGCCATCGCCGCCGCCGCGAGCCCAGAAGATGATGCCGACGGCGGCCATGCCGACAAAATAAAGGGCAATGAGGGTGATGTCGATCGCCTCAAGGGTGACCGGCATCACGCAGGTGTCCTGTCGCCCCGGTGTGCTCGGTGTGCTGCACGCAGCAATTCCACCAGCGGTGTGCCCACAGCTGGTGTGCTCCAGCAGAGTCTCCGCCTTCACAGTTAAGTTTGGGTTTATTTTCTTTTTCTCCATCGTCCTCCATCGTCGTTGTCTTCATCTGTCTCGCGTCCACCCATACCGCGTTGGTGTCCAGTCCGAGCCTGACTGTTGTTCATCTTTCTACATCCTCCATCCTACTTCCTGTCGTCTGTTGTTTGTTGTGCCCTTGTTTGTTATCTTTTGTTTGGTTTGTTCTCTTGGCACCTTGGAGTGCTGGGGGGGGCGACAGGGAGGATTGGCCTGGAGTTATGTGTACGCCTACTCAGGGGGTGTGTGTGTGGCAGCCCGCTCGCTGGCTGTGTGTCTTGTGAGCCTGTCCAGCGTCCACCCATACCAGCGGTGGTGTCCAGTCCGAGCCTGGCTGTTCTTCACCTTCCTACATACATACATACATCCCTCCGCGCGCGGCATCGTGGCAAGCACTCCCTTCCTTTGCTGCCGCTTCTCGCTTCAATTCACGAAGGTCCCCTGTGGTGAGACCGCCCCCTCCATGCCCTCAACGAGAAACTGCACTCCCGCGGGCGTCCCCGAGTCCCCGCGCCGATACGTCTGAGGTGCGAGGAGAGGAGGAGCGTCGCCACTGCGCCCTGAGGCGCGGCGGCGGCGGCGGCGGCGAGCGCTCCGCCCGAAGGGCGAAGGAGGCAGCGCCACGTTGCGCGGCACAGCCGTAGCTATCAGTGCGCCGGGGATGTAGCCAGGACTCTGCACCGGATGCCCGCAGAACCAAAAGGGATGGGAAACGCCGTCGAGGTGGTGAGTGCAGAAAAAAAGCGCAACTTGATACCGCGGATAACCTCAGAGGGAGTGCGAGTGGCAGAAAAGCGCAACTTTCAACCGATAACCATTTGGTGGCTCGATTCCCTGGGCGAGGCGAGTCAGGCGTATTTACTGTTTTGGGCGAGCCGCGCCGCCGGATTGGGATTATGGTAGATGAGAGGCCGCCGCCCTTGCAGGGCGACGCGGGCCCAGCCGCAAGCTCCTTATTGTCGCAGACGGCCTGCGGTCGGCTGGCTGGCGGTGAAGTCGTCGTGGCACCGCTGGCGAGGCGAAGCGCAGCCGGCGAAGCGCAGCCGGCGAGGGGCTGGCTCTCGTCTGCAGGCACGAGCGTGCGTGGAAACAGCTGGGCGGTACCGCCCTGGCTGGCCGCGGGCAGGAGGTCGTGGGAGAGGGGCGTCGCCGCGGCTCGCGGCGGCTACTCCTGCGGCTTGCCGAGGAGGGCGTTCCTCAGCCAGGTGTTGCCCAGCCCGCCGAGGCCAAAGGCGGGGAAGATGCGCATCGAGCGCGCGCCGACCGTCTCCGTGTACTTTTGGCGCAGGAACGCCAGCCGGTCCGAAGCCGTGCGGCCCGAGCCCAGCTTGTGCACGTAGAGGTCGTACGCGATCAGGTGCAGCGGCACCGTCAGCCACTGGATGGCCATCACGGGCGCGATCTGCGAGACGTACTTGGCAGTGGACGGCGAGTAGTCCCTCTCAACCATGGACTGGGAGATCGCCGGCGGAAGGGAGAAGGCCGTCGCCATCGTCCCGAGGTCGCGCACGAAAAAGAGGCTCCACGACACGAGCGGGAACGGAGCCGGCGGCTTGCCCGAGAACCATATGCCAAAGATGCGGTCCTTGCTGGCCGCCGCACCGAGGTTGACGAGGGTGGTGCTGGCGAGCTTGGGGATCTTATTACTCCTGCTAGAGGCTTCGCAGACGCTGTCGGTCCAGTTCGCCGCTAGGTAGGTGGCGGTGTACACGCCGTGAACGACAAAGTACTCGCGCGACGTCAGAAACTTGTGCGGTGTCGTTAGGAGTTTGACCAGCGCAGTCCTCATAGACGCGCCGAGCGTGTTTGCGCCGGTGGCATTCTCGACGACGGCCTTGTCGATGATGGTGACAGGGATGGACAAAGCTGCAGAGGCGATGAAGGCGGCGGCGAAATCTTTAAGTAGGGTGATGGCCTCTGGGACCGCCCAGCTCGAGGAGCCGCCCGTTCTCTCGACCGCCTCCGTGCTGGAGGTGAAGGGCGGCATAGCACACGCGCGCGTGCTCAGTTCTCGAAGCTGGTCGGCGCACGCTCGGGCGGGCGGGCCGGCCTCTTGTAATATGGTGCCCACTGGGTCACTGGGCCTGCCCACACACACCGGCCAAACACCGGCGCCGCAGCGTCGCGTTCTTTTTATTTGCTGATTTTTGGTTTGCGGTTAGTGTGGCGTCCAAACCGGTGCAACACCGCGCCGTTCGTGAGAAGGGGCGGGGGGGGCCGAGTTCGGCTTAGGGGGTTGTCCGGTGGAGGGGGCCCGGGCGGGCGGGGAGGAGCAAGGTGGGTCGGGGCGGGCGGTCGGGGCGGGGCGGGGGCGCGGGGCAAAATTACTCGCTCGGGTCAGGGTGTAGGTATATTTGTTTGGGTGGGGCGGGGCGGGGTGGGGATGTTGGGGTGGGGCGGGGCGGGCGCCGGAGTGGGAGTCATATCTCATATGACTGCTGAGCGAGAGGGAGTTTTAGCAATACCAAACAACTCTACACTCACACATCATTTGGGGCCTGGTTTTGATGAGACTACTCTCTCTCTCTGGTTTTGTGTTGTTGCTGCTTCTGAGAGTTTTTTTGTTTGTCTGCTTCTGGTGGCGACGGCTTCTGAGGAACGTCGCCCGCGCCTTTTCTGTCGTGTGAATCGTGTGCGACCGCCTGGGGGCAGTCTGTGGGAAACTCGCCGCGCACAGGAAAAATTAAATCATCTTTTTTTCTTCCCTTGCGTGGACTTGTGCAGGAGCGCCCGCCGCGGACCTAGTTCCCAACCTCCCCGCGCGGGGCCGCTCCGGGGCGACCCGGGCGCCCTCCGACCACGCTGCCACACTACTATCCTTCACCAGTAATGCTTGTCCCAGCACGAACTGCGCTCGAAGAGCACAACTCGGTAGATCCTCTTCATACGTCGACCGCCGATGCAGAGCAGGGCGGTGCGGCTGAATGCGCCGCGGATTCAGAGACCGCTGACATCACCGCGTGCCATGCGACACCGAAGGGTTCGCGGCGGTATGCACGCCTCGCCACCGGTTCCGGCGCCGGTGCGGAGGACGGCGCTGACGAAGGCGGCCGGACTACCCGGCGCGAGAAGCGCGAGAGGCCGCGCCGAGCCCGAGGCCGGACGAGACCCTCTCCCCGCGTGCAGCGTCGCGCTGTGGAGCGTGCGAGAGTGGGCGAAGCTCCATCACCACTGCAGCTGTGCAGACACGCTGCTGCCCTATGCACAGTTGGGCTCGCGCCCGGGCTCCTCCTGATGTCGATGCCCTTTAGCGGTGAGGACGCACCACAGGTCGTCAGGCGCCCGCACCGATCGCCGGCGCAGGCTTGGTACGACGCGTACGTATTCTGGCGATCGGCACCCCCTCCCGACCCACCGCTGCCACCGCCATCATCGCCGCCGCCCGCTCCACCGCAGCCCTCGAGCCCGCCACTGCCGCCATCTCCACCGCCGTCTCCACCGCCGTCTCCACCGCCGGCGTCGCCTCCTCATCCGCCGCCGCCCGCACCGCCACCTCCCACCAGGCTGAGCCCAGCCCGGTGTGACGCCCTCTTCCGCGATCGGGACGGCATCTTTCGGCAGATGTGGAACCGCGAGGGGTGGATGCAGCTGCACGGCGGCGAGCCGTGCTGGGGCCGCAACGACGGAGGCCGCTCTTACTTTGACAACGTGCTAATGGGCACCAGCTGCGACAACAATTGGTACGAAGGCTTCATGGGCTGGCAGGAGTGGGACGGGGATGCGCCGGCTGTCCTTGGCTTTGACAGCAGCATCGACGGCTACTGCCGAGGCCTGCAGGGACGGAGGCGGCGGCTGGCGCGGGGCAACGCCACGACTGGCAACGCGGCCGATGGCGACGATGCGACCACCATGAGCAACCGCCGCCGGCGGCTCAACGCGGCGTGGCTGTGCCACGAGGTGAACCGCAATATTTTGGTGAGCAGACGCCTTTCGCCGGTAGTAGGCAACCTTAATTCCAAGATCTGGCCCCTATCCACGCTAAAGCGACTAGCGACAGGGGACCCTGCCACCTTCACCCCCTCTTACCTCCCTCGCGCCCCCTCAGATGTTGTTTGGAACCAATGTGCACGGCATCTCGGCGCTTTGTTAAGAGGAGGAACGGGAGGAGGCGGTGCGTGAGCGCTCGGCTATATCTCGGCTATAGGCACTGGCGCAGGCTACAACAGCTGCCGAAATTTGGAGTGGCAGATCTGCGCGGCGCTGGGCAGGCTTCCAGGCCAGCGCTCGCCGAGGATCGTCTTTTCGACGGCTCCAAGCGAGCTCGACACCGCGGGAGCTCGACCCCTCGGCAAGTGCGGTGGCTACAAGCCGCGAGGCTGCGGCTGGCAGTCGTACGCCAACGATGACATTTTCTTCCTCGAGGTTTGCATATACGCCAAGATATGCCGGAATCGCGACAAGCTCTTCCGGCTGCGCCGCGGCGAGTTCTTCATCTGCGACGTCGACGAGGAGGGCTTTCGCGACTTGCAGCATCTGCTCGCCGACGGTCCGCACCCAAAGCGATGACCCCGACTGACCAGCTTCACCACCTCCAGGTTCGAGCGAGCCGCGCGCGCGCTTCAACGCACGGGCGAGTCCGACGACAGCCGGGGCAACGGGAATGGGTATGGCAAGTATGATTAACATATGTCTCTATATCCTTTTTGACGTATTAACGCGTTCCGTGTACACTATAGTTAGTGTAGTGTGACGCCCAGCCTGAGGGGCAGCCTCTCCATGATCGAATGCGCGGGTCGCGCATTCACACACACTCCACAACTCCGGGGGATATTACGTCACGTAAAAGCAACTCGATTGCTTTTACGTGATTACGCGGCACGCGGCTATACGCGCCGAGAGCGCGGATATGTTTGCTATTTGGGACGGCTATTGCGATTGCGGTATATCGCTACAACTCTTTCGGGCGTATCGGCGCGCCCACGGTCGCCGAAGTGTTTACTAGCGTCTGTTCTGATCGTATAACTTTTGTCAGTCACCAAAAGGGCCACGCGCGCCGCGCGGCTCCTCTTTACCGCCCACGCACCCGACGGTGCGTGGAGCCCTATAGTGTGTGTGTCGAACGCGCTCTGCAGTCTCCACGTCTTCGCGTTTCAGCTTTTCTCTGGTAGCGTAGCAGGACGGGAAGTCGGGAATGATATGATAGTAGGGGAGTAGAAGAAAGCACAGAGCAGCCCTGCGCACGGCGACGCACGACTTCTTGTGCAGCTCACAAAAAAACTGCGGCCGCCAGCGACTGAGCGTCTCCGGCTGTGGCGGACGGGGAGAGGAACACAAAGAGACGTACGGACGTCCATCCACACGACTGGGATGAGAATACTGGAGAGATGCAGAGATGAGGTCGAACCTGCTGATTCAACAGCCGCCCACAGGAGCGCCGCCTCAACACGGGGTCTCGGCTCTATCGAGCCATGCTAGCTCCAGCCGCAGCCCCACCCGGCCGCCCGTCCCCGAGAGGGTGTGTTCCCCCGCAAGGTGGGTACGGCTCTTACTACCGTAAGTTACTCTTACACTAAAAGCACACAGAGAAGACACTAATCCTGGGAAGTGCCACGGGAAGCACAACACAGCCTGAATGAAGCTCTTGAGAACTGTGGAACGAAGACTTCGTAGCCCTCCGATCAGAGCGGTTTTTGAAATGCAAAAAATGGCCGGTAAGACAAACGTGCGAAATCTCTTCCCTCTCCGTCTCTCCTCTTCTCGTCTGCCTCAGTGTGTTCCCCCTCGACACATATAACGATCACAGCTCACAGATGCGTCACGGTAACTCCATCGGCGCAGAGTTCAGACTGCGGAAAGGTCACTGCCGTCACAAAAAAACGCCCGAGCTCAGCGCATCACATTGCTCCGCGCCGGCGGCGTCATCTCCCCGCCTCATGAGGCAGCCCCGAGAGGAAGCACGGGTCGTCGGGCGACTCGGGCGAGTACGTGTACTCGAGCCTGCACTCGCCGTCGAAGAAGCCCGAGGAGGAGGAGTACAGCTCCTCGACCGAGGAGGCGAGGCCGGCAAACATCACGATCAGCCCGGCGGCGATGTTGAGCGTCATCCAGGCGAGCCGCCCCGCGCCGAGGGGGACGGGCGCCAGCGCGATGAGCAGCACGTACGGCAGGAAGTAGGTGAAGGCCGTCATCCCGATGGCGCCGATCAGCGACTGCACCGCGATCAGCCGGTCCCCCTCCCCCGAGAGCAGCAGCTGCGCGACAAAGACCTGCGAGCCGAGGAAGAGCGAGCGCACGAGCAGCCGCAGCAGCCACGGCGGGGGCCGCGGCCAACCTCGGCGCGCGGCGGCGGCGGCGGCGTCCTCCTCCTCGCGCGCGACGGGCAGCGGGGCGGACCGGGCGGCGCGAGACGAGATCTCGCGAGAGGAGATCTCCTCCTCGGCGCCGGTGTGCGCCCTCCCGCCCGCGGCCGCCTCTGGCCAGGGCGCGCTCCTCCCCGCGGACGGCTCGTCCTCGGAGGCGATCGAACGCAGCCGCGCCGTCGGCGTGTGCGTCGCAGGCGAGTGCGGCGTGGGCGGCTGTGTCGGCGGGGTCGGCCTCGACTCGTGCCTCGGCGGCGGGTCTGGCGGCGCGCTGCAGCAGACGGTCGGGTCGATGCCGAGTCGCATCTCGATGTCGAGCATCATCACCTGGCGGGCAACTAATGATCAAGGAGCCGACAAGGCTCGCGGAGGGCCCGAGACGTCGCGTCTCTGTGTCGGGCGGCCTCGTCGCCAGGTTGCCGACCAGGTACTCCCCCGCTGCATCTCGGCTGTAGCTCGGCTAGATCTCGGCTAGATCTCGCCAGGTTGCCGACCAGGATGAAGTAGACCTCCTGCACGACCTGCACGCCGATGGAGGCGGTGTTTGCGGCGTTGCGCGGGAAGTTGAGGTTGATGTTGGACCAGGAGAAGTCGCCGTACGCGTAGTACCCCACGATGCCGCACGCCCAGTAGAGCGGGATGGCGACGCCGTACGTCCAGTTCATCACACTCGGCCACGCGGACGGGGTCGACATCTCGCGGATCTCCTCGGGGTAGAAGCCGTGGCCGCCAAAGGCGTACGCGAAGGCGGACAGGCCGAGGAAGACGTCGTTCAGGTCGCGGCCCTGCGGCGAGGTTGCGTTGGAGAGCGCCTCCTCTCCTCCGCCCGAGAGAGCGCCGCCCCCGTCTGCAACCCCGAGCAGACCGTCGTAGCGCGGCCCTGGCTGGCACCGCCACGGCCGCACGAGGAGCACCTCGTAGAACATGACGGCGACGTTGATCGCGAGCGGCAGCAGGCCGAGCAGCGCCGCCGCCCACCGCGTCTCGTGGTACGTCGGCAGCTGCAGCACCGGCAGCGAGACGGCGGCGGCGACCAGCAGCCACTGCCACTGGCAGAGCCGAGACTGGTCGAAGAGCTGGCCGAAGAACTGCTCAAAGTAGATGAGCTCCGCAACCGTGGTCAGGTAGTAGGTCGCGAACTGCAGCACCAGGCAGCAGCCGGCGCCCGCGTCGCGCCACGCCTGCGGAGACCAGCCTCGCCGCGCCGCGCAGGCCGCGAGCGCCTCGCCGCAGAGGCCCGGGTAGCTGCCGATCTTTGGGCGGAGGCGGCAAACCTCGCCCAGCACGAGGCCCGTGTCGTACGTCACCACCGACGAGTACACCAGCGCCAGCATCCCCACCGTCCACCCGGTCTGCGCAAAGCAGGCCGGGATCGCACGCGGCACGCACATGAAGGCGAGGCTGTTGGCAGTGATGGCCCAGGTCGGCGCGCGCCGTAGCGGCGTGCCGGAGGCGGCAGCGCGCGGCGACGACGACGACTTGTCGTGCCGGGCCACGCCCGCGTCGCTCGCCTCCACATTGAGCGGGATGAGGCCGTTCTTTGCTGCACCGCTCACAGCGCCAAGGTCACTTGGCCCTCGCGATATGGCGGGCAGGTTGTGCTGCGGCTCCGGCGCGCCACCGCCGCCGACGGTGACCGACGCAACGGCTGTGCCACGGACGTAGGCATCGCTGGTGGCCATCCGCCAGCCTCCACCTCGCTGACCGCGGCCAAGGTGTGCTGTCCCCTCCAAAGAGAGACTTGCATGGGCAGAACGAAAAATTGCACGGTGAGCGCGGCCCGGGGTTGAGCGTTTATGTGAGCGCGGCGCTCTCGGTGCTCACAACTCTCTCAAAAATCCTCGAGGGGGCGCTCTCCCTGTGCTCACAACGCTCTATTATTAAGTCGGGCGTCGACTGACAAGCCGCGTCGACTCGCGCGCCGCCAGAGGCCAAACAAATCTAACACTCACACGTCATTTCCAGAGGCCAGAGCCGAGAGCGGCCGCGCTGACTGATCGCGCCCGCCGGCGATTGAATCATGGCGCGAGGCGCGCTGGCTCCATGGCAGCACGTTGAAGCAGAGCAGGTGGGGACGAGGAGGAGCAGGACGCGCGTGAGGACGCGTCGCCTCTCTGCTGTGAATAGAGGGAGAGTGCTGCAGCGTTGGAACCGAAGCTCGGCGCCTCGCCCTCAGCAGAGCGGGCGAGAAAAGCTGAAGCTGTTCGCGCCACACTGATCGCCCCGCCTTAACTTGGACGCTTGCTTGAGCCATGCCGCGCGCGTACCCCCGACGACCATGTGTGCTGCAAGCGAGCGCTTGAGAGTTGAGTGCCGGGGGGGCGACTGTGAGGTGGGAGCACGTATCATGTGACGACGCCACCGAATTTCTCGTTTCGTGAGAGTCCTCTTCATCATCGTGTCGAAACGGATTTCTTTTTCCTTAGCCGGAGAGCTCTGAGACGCGAGAGACACTCGCGCTGCCAAGGCGCCCCATGCCCTGTGGCGCCCTCAGCAGGCGGCCCGCCACGAGCCGCTCGCCGCCGCCGCCCGCGGCCGAGACCACACGCGAGCGCCCGCCTTCTCCTCGGGCACGACAGCGGCTCGAGCACGGGTGTGGAACAAACAACACCTCGTGACCAACTGGCAGTGCACTGTCGGACAAACGCGCAGCCCGCCGGCCAGTCCGATGGTGACCAGTCCGCCGGCCGAGCAGGCGAGGGGCCAGCGGGCTGAGCCCGCGGCTGCAGGCGAGCCGCCGCCACAGCCGCGGCAGCCCACTCTCCCTCCTGCGTGCTCACACGTCCACCCGCGAGCGAGCCGAGAGCGTCGCCGGGAGCGAGTGGGTGGCGGCCGATCGGCGACACTTGGCGCCCGCCAGAGCTCTGGCTCGGGCGCCGTCGGGGGCAGCGCGCCGCACGCCTCGCCGCCGCCACCGCCGCAGCTCGCCCCGCCACCGCCCCTCACCCCTCCTTGCGGACCAGCGCGCACCAGTTGCCCGTGTCGTGGTACTCCTCCTCGAGGCTGGCGCCCGGCACGGAGGCGATGAGCTCGGAGAGCTCGCCTGAGGCGTCAGGCGGCGCGAGAGGACAGGTCCGGGACAGGGCCGGGGCGTGCGGGAGTGGAGGCGGCGCGAGGGGACAGGTCCGGGGCGTGCGAGAGTGGCGCCGCGAGGAGGTGCCGAGGAGGAGAGCGCCGACAGCGTCGCGGGCGAGGGGTGCGACCGCGCTGCCGAGGTGCGGGTGGGCGGCTCGCCCTGCGAGTACACGTGGCAGTATCGCTGGAAGACCGTCGCGCGCTTGTCCGGCACGTGCACGCCTCCCGCGGCCGCCTCGAGCTCGGCCGACCGGCGCGGCGTACTGTCTCGCTGGTGGAAGGGCACGAGGACGTCTCGCGCGGCGAAGCCTAGGCGCGAGCTCGTGGACGCGTCGAGGACGCTTCGTGCGTCGGAGGCCGCCGGAGCCTCCCGCGCCGTGGTTGGACACGCCCTCCTGCTGCTCGAGCGCCCACGCGTAAAAGAGCGCCACGCCGCCTGCCCGGAGCACTCGCATCGTCTCGGAGACCAGCGCACGCCGCCGCTCCACCGAGGAGATGTGGTGCAGCACGGCGATCGACAGCGCGGCGTCGAAGCTCGCGTCGCGATACGGGAGCGCCAGGCAGTCTGCCACCAGCGCCTCCATCCGCATCTCTCTCGCCGCGATTCGGACGAGCTCGCTCGAAAAGTCGCAGCCAACGGCGGCGAGGCCGCTCTCGGCGCAGGCAGGCGCGAGCTTGCCGTTCCCGCACCCCAGGTCGGCGACGAGCGAGCCGTGCGGCAGGCTGCGCACAAACTCGACGACGCGTGGCCAGGCCTTGTACCGAGTGCCGTGCCACTGCCACGCAATCGCGTCGTAGACGCGCCGGACATGCTGCTCCTCGAGAGCGGCTTGTGAGGCCAGGAGCGAGGCGGGGCACTCGACGTTGTCCTTGGGAGGCATATACACGCAGGATTCCTACAGGGGCGCAGGGTGGCTGCAGCGCGCACCTCAGAAAGAAAGAAAGAACAGACGCCAGTCGCAGTGGCAACCGGACCACCGCGACCTTCGACAGGGAGAGCCATGCCTCCCCGAGCCTGGAGAGGAGCCGGCGGAGGGGGGGGGCGAGCCGGGGACGATAGAGAGGCCGCGAGTGCGGGCACGACTCGCCGACCAGGGAGAGCGGGCTCGACCTCCCTGGGAGGGGAGGCGACACGACCCAATGCCGTCGCCCTCACCCGGGGAGACCTCGGCCGGACCGTCGACGCCCTCGGAAGCGGTGGAGCCGGGAGAAGCTGGCGGAGATGAAGGGCGGCAGCGGAGGAAGCGACACCAACAACGAGGGAAACGGCCACACCGGCCGTCGCATGACGCTCGTGAGACGAGCAAGAGAACGAATCAAAGGGGGTCGGAACCCTGGGAAGACAGGGGGTGAGCCCTCAGGCGGGGGGTCTACTCAAGTGCCTGCGTGAGTGAGTGTGGAGTGGTGGTGTGACGTGTGAGGCGTGCAGTGTGGTGTTCATTAGCTCCGAGTAGAGGGGGCGTCCTGCAGTTAAGGGGAAACCCGGTACGCGGGGCCAACCCTCGGAGACCCGTGTTTACTTTAAGGCCCTTGCCCTGCGAACGCGCACCCCCCCTAGGGGTCAGGGCTCTCTAGCCCGTAGCCCGATCCCGATCATCCGGCCCGCTGGGTGCGCTTCTGAGCTCCCCGGCCCTGGATGTGAGGCTGCCGACTGCACTCCAAGTGCTCCAAGTGCTCCAAGATCAGCCCAGGGAGATGGGAGGACGGCACGCCGCCACCACACCCGCCTTTTTTTCAGCGTTGTAAAATTCTTTTCCTGGGACAGTCACGCCGTTCATCACGGTGTATTCGATTCGCGCCCTCTCCACAAAGCGTCTCGAGCAAGCGTTCTGTCTGAGGTGAGCATGGGCACCAGCTGATCGGTCGAGCAAAAAGAGCGAACGGCCAGATCACGCTTCACGGGTCGGTGCAGCACCTCGCGTCGTCAATCAGCACCGTCTCCACATTGACGGCGCGCCCGTCCGCCATGATCTCGCCCACGAGGAAGCCCTGCTGCCCGTCGCACGCCCACCCGCCGCCGCCGCCCGTCAGCCAATTGCGGTTGGGCGCGATCGACGCCGTGCCGGCGTAGCCCGACTCGTGCGCAGCGGTCGCGTGCCGGTGGCCTCCGAAGTAGGAGATGCGCGTCTCGTGCGAGCGGAGGAGCCCGATCGTGTCGATGCCGCCCGGCCGCCGGCCGAGGAGGAAGTCGGTCGGGTAGTGCGACACGACGAGCAAGTTCCCGCCGCGGTTGGCGGCCACCCGCTCGCGGAGCATCCGCGCCGAGGCGACCTCCCGCTCGGCGAGGGTGCGGAGGCACTGCGCCGGCGAGCACCCCTCGGACTGGACGAGCCAGGGACACGACTTGGACGCGTCGGCCGCGTTCATGTCGAGCGCCACAACCTAGCGGGGGGAAGGGGCGTGGAGCCGGGGGTGCAAAGGGGAGCCGACGTCTGGCGGCGGCCGCGCGCCTCAATGTTGACGCCCGGGAGGGGCCGCGCGTGGTAGTAGGTGGAGGGCATGTACCACGACGTGTTGCGGTGCCTCGCGCCGTGCTTCTGCACCTGGTGGCACTGCTTCGGGTCCGAGAGGCAGCCGCACCGCCAGTCGGGCGCCTCGTAGTCGTGGTTGCCTATCCTCGAGCGCAACACACACCGCCTCACACGCGGTGGGCGGGCTCGGCCGGGGGAAGAGCGCGCGGGCGATCGGCGCCGTAGACCGAGTACCACTGCATGTGGTCCATCCCGTGGTACACGTCCGACCACTTCTCGGTCCACTGCGGGTCGTCGACACCGTGCACGCCCTGCGCGAGGGGGGGGGGCGGCGGCAGCGAGTGTGTGCCGTGCGAGCGAGAGCAGGTGCGTGCCAGCACGCATCACAGTGTCTCTGCCGCCGTGCCGCACGCCTGCGGGTAAAAATTGTCTCCGACGTTGAGCACGAAACGCACGTTGCCCCGCCGCCGCGCCTCGGCTCGCATCGTGTCGGCGATGGCCTACAGACGACGCAGGCCGCAGTCTGCACGCACAGGAGGAGGCGCCGGGCCGCCGCCGCCGCGCACGCACGCGCGCCTGCTGGCAGCGCGGCAGTAGCACGCACCGCCTCCGGTGGCGACACGCCACCTCGTGCAGCTCGGTGTCGTACCCCCAGTCGCCAATCACAAAGAAGGAGCCCACCACGCCGGCTGCCGGCTCGTACGGCCGCTGCTGCGCCGCCGGCTCCCGGCTGTCCCGTGCCGGGGAGGGCGGCGGAGGGGGCGAGGGGCGGAAGTAGTGTCCGTACTCCCGCTCGTCCTCGTTGTCAACGTCCTCCTCCTCCTCCTCCTCCGCCGCCGCCGCCGCCGCCGCCGCCGCCTCCCCCGCCGCCTCCCCCCCCGCTGGCGGCGTGCGAAGCGAGCCCGGCGGGGGAGGCGCACGGAGGGAGGAGGGAGGGCCGGCGGCTTGCAGCGAGAGCGCCGACGCGGCGAAAAGGAGCATCGAGAGGACGAGGGCGGCCCACGGCAGCAGCCGCGGGCCGAGCGGCGAGGGAGGCTCCCCCTCTCTCTCCGGCGCGGGGTCGACCCACGCGAGGCGGACCGGGTGGCGGCAGCGCAGCTCGTCGGCGGTCGCCGCGCCGGAGGCATGGCCGGAGGCGGGCTCGGTGGCGGCCTGCTCGCGCATCAGCCAGAGGACGGCGCCACGAGGCGCCTGGAGAGAGGGCGGTGTGTGTCGGTGCGTGCGAGGCGCGTGAGGGGGCGGGCAGAGGGCGAGCGGGCGGGCGGGCGAGCAGGCGAGCGGAGGTGCGTGGAGGAGGAGGAGTTGCCTCCGTCGGCACACCGCGCACGAGCGCACGAGGCTCGGATCCGTCCCGCCGCGACAAGTACGACACGTTTGGCCCGAGCCGCTCGACGACCACCTTAGGGGGGGCGTGCCTCCGTGTCTCCGTGAGGGGAGGGGTAGAGGGTCGTGTGGCGGGAGGGGGGGCAGGAGAGGGGGGCGGGAGGGGGGGGGGGGGGGTTGATAACATGTTGCGGTCTCTCCCGCGCGCGCGCCTTTGCGCCACGCGGCCGGCGGCTTCCCTGCCCAGGGCGGTCTCGGCTGGCAGACGGCGGGCAGGTGGGCAGCGTGACGCGGACCTGGGAGAGAGGCGCACAGGGCGGGGAGGCGGAGGTTGCGGGGGAGGGTGGCGGGAGGAGTCCAGGAGATGCCTCGCCGTGAGGCAAAGCCGCGGGGCGCGAGGCAGATGGCCCATGACAAGCCAGACAGCAGCCGCGGGTCGCGGGCGGAGTGGGAGGCGGCGGGATGGTGGTGCGCCCTCCTGCTTCCGACTCAGCCGCACCTCGCCCAAGCTCAGCGTCTCTCTCCCGACGTCGACAGTCGACCTTGCCTTCGAGCTGTCCTTCGAGCTGGCTGCTGTTGCCATGGCTGTTGCGCGGCAGCCTGCTGCGGGCAGCACCGGCGCCGGGCATAGTTGCACCGTCGCGGTGACGACGGCCTTTGGGACGAAGGGCGCGTCGCGGGCCGTGCAGACGGTCGAGGCGGCGGCGGCCTTGAGGCGCGAGGTGAGGCCGCCCCGCACGGCACGCGGGGGGGCGGAGCGGGAGGGGCCCACCACGGTCGAGGCGGCTGCGGAGCGGATGCGGCTCCGGGCGGAGGTGGAGTGACCGACTGCGCGGCGGGAGGCGCTCGCGGAGAGCAGGCTCGACGCGGCGTCCTCCTCCTCCTCGGCCCACCTACAGCCAGCAGCCACCCCGCTCCTCTTGGAGAACCCCTCGGCGGTTCCCCCCCCCCCCTCCCCTCCTCCCGGCACACACGCACGTCCTCTCTCGCCCTCCGTCGTCCGCGAACGTCGCGAAGCTGCCCGCGTCCGCCTCCTCCTCGTCGTCGTCGCCGTCGCCGTGCTCGCTCGGCGGGCGGAGGAGGAGCTTCTCGTCGAGCGCCTCGAGCACCCAGCCGACCGCCGCGCCGCCGCCGTCGCCGCCGTCGCCGCCGCCCGCGCCTCCGCGTCGCCGCAGCCGCAGCAGCAAGCCAGCGGCGAGGAGGAGGGCGGAGAGGGCGGAGAGGGCGAGCGTCGCGGCCACCACCGCGCGGCGGCGCTGCGGCGCGCCTGGCGTCGACAGCGGAGGGCGCGACGGCGCGGGCGGCGGCGACGGCGACGGCGCCAGAGGCGGGAGGGGCGGGCTGGGAGGATAGGCGGGCGGCGACGCGGGGCTCGGGGGCGGAAGCGGCGAGCGCGGCGGCGGCGGCGGCGCGTCGCAAAAGGAGACGCCCGGAGTGTCGACTATCTCGGAGAGGGCGGCGCCGCAGAAGCCTGCGGCCGGCATGTCCGGGTCGCGCACGCCGCACGCGACCTGCCGCGCGTTGTAGCGGGGCAGCGAGGCGGAGGCGGAGGCAGTCTCGAAGGGCGCGACGTCCGCCGCCGTGTCGGAGAAGAAAAAGACGTGCGAGTCCGGGATCGATCTGCCGGTGCGGCGGCGGTAGAGGTCGACGATGGCGCGCACCGCCACGTACTTGTCTGCGGGCTCCACGTACATGGCGATCGGCTGATCGACCTTGGGCGACGAGGCGTTGGCTGCGTTGACGACGTCCCACGCGCTGCGGTCGCCTCGCCACGCGCCTCCGAAACCGAGCAGCCCCGGAGAGGTGAGGTACGAGTACATGATGCGCCTCAGCGACGACGCGCTGCCGCCGCCGTCGCCTTCGGTGACCACTCCGAGGAAGCAGCGCGCGCAAAAGCTCCGGCTGAGGTGGGCGCCGGCGTCGGACACCGTCAGGTGCGAGAGAGCGGAGTTGCTCCGACACTCCGCCGACACTCCGCGCCGCCCGGTCAACGTGCGGACGAGATCGAAGGCGCACACGCAGGAGCCAGCCTGCATGGGCGACCGGTCTAAGACGAGTTCCTGTTGTAGGCGACAAAGGCGCAAGCAGCTGCTCTCCTCTCTCTCGCAGATGTACGGCTTCGGAGACCGGCGCGAGCGTGGGGGGAGGAGTCCAACCCGTAGTTGTACAAGGTGACCGAGGCCACAAAGGCGCCGTAGGTAGGGATCCCTAAAGAAAACGCGGCGCGATTACATGATTACGAGTCACCTTAAGGCGCCGTACTCGCATAGTGTGGTTAACGAAAGTAGCGTATAATACTTGATTTTGCAGGGCTGTCGGATTTTTCCGCGCCTCGAAATTCCTAAGAATCGCCTCGCCGCTCCACCAAGCCTTTCTCCGTTGCCTCCAGCCGCGCGGCGCCATCGTCCGCGATCCAGTGCCGGCCTGTGACAAGCTTGGCAGCTCGCGGATCGACGATCGCCACGAGCTGCTGCCTGGCGACCGCCGCTCGCCTTCGACGATGCGCTCCTGCACAGCTTCATTCCACCCCAATGTCATGTGCGCACTGAGCCGCCCGGCTACTTCCACAGGCTGCTCGTCGCGGGCGCCGCGCTGCTGGCAGCCACCTGCGCGCTTGCGCTGATCGGCGCGCACGCCTCCCCAACTCTCGCAGTGGCTGAATCGCCGAAACCCTTCGTCGACGCTGCCCATGCCGCGTCCGTCTCGCCCGAGGCTGCCAAGGCTGGCTTTGCTTCGGCGGTAAAGGCGATGCAGGAGGGTAAGAGTCCTGCGGAGGCCATGCGAGCGGCGGAGAAGGCGGCCGAGAAGGCACAAGAGGACGCGGGCGCAAAGAGCCTTCTGCTCGCGGCCGACCCATCCAAGATGCCGGACACCAAGCCGTTTGTCGACGCCGCTCACGCGGCGTCGCGCTCGCCCGAGGCGGCCAAGGCTGCGGCCACATCGGCGATCAAGGCCATGCAAGAGGGGAAGAGCCCGGCAGAGGCGATGCATGCTGCCGAGAAGGCGGCCAAGGAGGCGCAAGAGATGGTCGGCTGGGCGTCGGCCAAGGAAATGTCGTTGCTGACGGTTCAGGGAGGCAAGCCGGGCGATGACAAGGACGATGCAGACGAAGACGAGACCGACAAAGACGAGAGCGAGGAGGAGGAGAAGAGCGACGAGCAGAAGGAGTGGAAGCGGATGGGACAGGCAATCGGCGATGACTGGAAGTCAAAGGGCAAGCAGATGGGCGATACCGACTGGAAGGCCTTGGGTGACAAGATGAAGGACATGGGCAAAGACGCTCAGGAGACCGGTGGGTGGTCGTGGCCGTCGTTCGAGAAATTCTGGAACCCCTGCCACTAAGCAAGTCAGTTGAAAGCTTCACTGTACTTCTGATCTCTTGGCTGTCGATCTACGAGCAACCACGTCCAAGAGCTTTGATGATGGACGTGTCCGGGAGCGTAGCCGCTCGAGTAGTCATGACTTTGAGTCATGATATGTTGCATGCGGCATGTGCCCAGCTAGTGCACAAGTGCGGCCTGGGAAACCTCGCACGACGTTGAGCACGTTTTCACATGTTTATGATCAAGCTGCTTCTACATGAGCCATGACTATATTGTGTATTGAGAGTAATATACTGTGGCGCACACTGTCACAGTGACAGCTCACACCGCAGTCACTTTCCACGCTCCGAGTGGAGAACCAGCTCCACGTTAACCCTGGTAGGTGGACAAAAAAGTATGCGTTTTTCGGCCTCCCCTCCCTAACATTAGCCGGCCAAAATGTACTCTGACCGGTTAATATTAGAGAGGGGGGGGCGGCCGGGTGTCAGACCTAGCGCTAGGCGTGCGAGGCTGACGTATTTTGGACAATCCACCTACCAGGGTTAAGACCTCGGTCGGTGATCTATGAAACGTCTCGAGAGCGAGCGACCAAGACGTTGGGTGAGCGCAATGGTGGCGGCTGACATAGAGCCGGCTCACATTGCTACTGTGCCCGACACGGCAGCCCACAAGCTTGAATCAGACAGCACGAGCGCATCGTACTCCGACAAATGCCTCGGTGATGACGGGGTTCGGAGCCTTTGCTCGCGTCTAGCGACCACTTCATCGCTCACCTCTCTGAACCTCCGAGGCTGCCACATTCACGCACCGGGCGCGGCTGCAGTCGGCGAGCTTCTTTTGCACGGTCGGTCCAAGCTGCGCGTGCTTTCGCTCGAGTGGAATGGCATTGGCACAGACGACGCAGGCCCGCGCTCGCTCGCTGTCGCACTGCAAGCCGCCCATTCCGCATTGACGAGCCTGGACCTCCGCAACAATCGAATTGGTCCTCGGGGCGTGAAGCACCTGGCCGAGGCTCTGGTGCACAACGTGACACTTGTGAGCCTTGACCTTCGTTGGAATAGCGCTGCAAAGGAAGGGGGTGAGGCACTCGAGTCAGCGCTCCGAGCCAATCGGAAGATCATGCACCTGCCACTCGAGGGCAATCGCGTGCCAGGAGGCGTGCTCCAGCGTATTACAACGTTGCTCGGCCGCAATGGTGCCGACGCAACTGAAACGACGAATTATCTAACACTGACGGGCTGCAGCGATCAGGCTCTTGGTGCAGATCCCGTGGCTGGTGGCCGCAGGCTTGCCGTGCGAACGAGGGCTCTCGAAGGCGCATTGACATTACAGCAAAGCGAGTTCACCAACAAGCTGTCCCACGTTCAGGGCCGCATCGAGGATGCCGAAGCGCGCGCAAACGAGGAGGCGGCGCGAGCAGAAGGCCTCGTTGCGCAGCTCGAGGCTGCGAAGACATCGGTCGCCAAGCACGACGCTGAGGCGGCCTCTGCTGCACGTGCGCTCGAGGAGGAGAAGCGTGCTGCGGCGGCGGAGGTGGAGGCCGCACAGAGAGCCATGCGTCACGCGGAGAAGGAGAAGCTCTGCGTGGAGGCCGCACTTGCCGCCGCCGAAAGAGCCATCGAGGCAAAGGACGCGGCAATGCTCAGCGAGACTCGAGCGCTGGGGGAGCGCGAGGCCCGCGCGGCTGCGGCAGAGGAGCGCGCCGCTGCTGCCCATGCAGAGCTCGCAAAGGCGCAAGAGGCGCGTGCAGCCGAGCGGCGCGAGCATGCTGAGATGCTTGCTGCTCTGCAGCAAAGGGTCGCGAGCGCGGAAACGACGGCGGCAAACAGCCGGGTCGCCAGCTCCGAGGCGCAGGCAGCTGCCCTCGAGAGGCAGGCCTCAACACACACAGAGGCCCTCGAGGCGCTTGCTGCGGAGCGGCGTCGGATGGAGGCGCGCGTGGCTCGTGCCGAGATCGAGCGCGACGAGGCCCTCGATGCGGCACAGCGGGCGCGGGACCAAGCCGAGGCGAGGCGAGCGCAGGCTGAGGAGGAGACGAGAGAGCGCGAGCGGCGAGCGGCGTCCGTGCCTCAGGCACGCGCCAACGCCCTTTCCAAACGGCTAGAGGACGAGGCGGCGGCACAGGCGACCGATCTGGAACGGATGCGTGTAAAACTCAGCCAGTCGGAGGAGACGGCCGCGGCGGCGATGGCCGAGGCGGAGGGGCGACGCGTGGAGCTTGCAAGAGCCCAGGCCCGTGCAGAGGCGGAGGCTGCGGCGCGCAAGGCGGTCGAAGCTGACGCGGAGCGCGCACGGGCCGTGGCGGAGAAGGAGATGTCGGCCACGCGCGACGCACTCTCCGAGACACGCGCCGATCGGCAGAGCTTGTCGCAAGAGCTGCTTGAGGCGCGGCAAGCCCTCGTGGCATCGCAGGCGCGCTTCGACGCTTCATTGCAAGGCCTCTCGGCGCGCGTGCAGACCGTCTTTTTCGAGGCGGCCTCCGGCACATGCGCGGTTCCGCCGCAACAACCTACCACATCGACTCGAAGCCTCGCCACTGGTGTCCACACGCCGGAGCCGGTCACGCCCTCCTCGACGTATCTGTCCCTCGCCAGCACACGCCCAACCTTGAGCGGACACGCCCTGGGGCAAGATTCCGCTCGCTCTTTTGCCTCCGAGGGTACGGGGACAGACCCTCACGTCGATCACCCACCGCCGTCCCATTCTGCCGCTCTCGTCGAGAAGCTGGCTGGGCCTGCTGGACGGCGGGCGCATCGTGCGCCACCAGCGCCGCCGACGCTGACGCCGCAGCCTTTCCCGTCGATCGGCCCCAGCGGCGGGACGGTTGGTGCCGCGGAAGGCGCCCAGAGATGGCGCACCGTCGGCGACGCAGCTGGAGGGATAGGCAGCGCGTCGAGCCCTTCCGGCACTGCCAAGCAAGAGGAGCGAGCAGGAACGGCAGCGTACTGAGAATGGCACTGGTCGATTCGTAGGTATTGACGAAGAGAGCGATGCCGAAGGCTCGACCATCGGGGGCGATGATGATGTCGACGAGGTTGAGGAGCGGCCACGGCAGAGGCTGCTATCGCTCGACGATTTGCCCGACCTGCCTTAGCAGGGACATTGGCGTCGGGCCAGGTTGCGGGCCACAACACCGCCAGGGCCGGGGCGGGTGGCGCTACGCTCGTTACCAGCGAAAGATCTCGCACGGACGAGGGCCTGAGTCCTAGAGGCCTTCTCCGCACAAGCATACGCGCGTTGGTAGAAGCTATAGGATTCTGTGTGAGTCTCAGTCTGAGAGGTAAGTGAGAGTTGGAGATTACGCGTCGTTACGGCTCTCTCGAGTCCGACCCCCGAGCCCGACGGAGATCGGAGTCGGACGAGAGAGCTCGGTGTGGACTGTGTGGAGGAGGCTCCGGAACAACACGAGTGTGAGTGAGCATCGGAGCATGTCGGCACTCGTGGGGACTGCGACTGGGCTCTGTGGGGAGCAGAGTGTCTCGCGACAGGAACATGACGTGTGTAGGCGGGGTTACTACACAGCACAGCCTTTCTACTCGGATGTTGATTCTCCACACACTGCACACACACTCACAGAGGGAGCTATACAGAGGTACTGACGTAAAGCCGTGTGTAGCGCCGACCTCTCAAAAAATAGATATCGCGTGCAGGGGGCAGCACAGCACACAAAAACACACACACACACACACACACACACACACACACACACACACACACACACACACACACACACAAATAATGGAACCCGCTGCGCAGGCACCAGCGCCGGGCAGCCGCTGCGCAGCACGGGTGTTACACCGCGAGGCAAATCACTGCTTGGCAGCTTTTTTCTCCATCCGCAGCGCGTATTCCGCCTCCGCAGTGTTTGTGACGACGCGCGCCGCGAAGTAGAGCCCATTCCCGCCGTGCAGGAAGAGCACGAGCCTATCTCGTGAATACACCAACGTCGGTGTGCGCCGAAACGCTGCACGATGCCGTGTTCACAATCGCGCCAGATGGGCAGCCAGCCGACTGGGGCCGAGTCCCCCATGTTGAGCTTCGTGACGACCATGATGTAGCAGACGAGGAGGATGCCGGGCCAGCGCACGGCGATATTGAGCCACTTGTTGACACGCTTGTTGGTGATCTTGCGCAGCGCTCCCATCTTGACGAGCGCAAGCATGCCGTAGTCGAGGCCGCCCGGCAAGCCGCAGATGAAAAAGTCCATCGCGTGCAGACCTGCGCCCCAGAGGAAGAGGTAGCCCATCGAGCCGACGAGTCCGACGGAGACGCCATGATGGACGTAGTCCATCGTGGTGAGGGAGTCGTAGTAGAAGAGGACGTGGAAGATGTGCACTGCCATCACCAGCGCGTGCCCTAGGTTCTCAGAGGCGCGCCACTCGACTGGGTGCGCGAGCACCCAGAGCGTGTCGGGGACGGCGAGGTAGCAGACCACCATATTGACGAGGAAGTGGATCGTAAAGAAGGACAGGTTCGGATCGATGCGCCCGCCCGCGAATGCAGCGGGCGGCATGGATTTCCTCGCAAGAGGGAAGAGAGCCCGCTCGAGAAGCACTTTGACGACTGCCATCGCCACCATCCCAGCGACAAAGGCGCGGCCGCTGACCTCCGTCGGCCAGAAGACCACGTCGCCGAGGAAAGAGCTCATTTGAGGTCTGTGAGTGGCAGGGGGTGGCTGCTGCAGGGCTCGCAAAACCTGCTGCTCGCTCGCAGGTGATGAGGAAAAGAAGAATTCAAAGGCCCTCGAAAGAAGAATTTTAGAACAAAACTCGCATGTGCAAGAGAAGAAAGAACAATGCCCGTCAGAACTCGAGGGACCAAAATATGCCGCGAACAGGCGCTGCTCGAGACTACAGCCTGAGGGCCCAACAGGAGAATCGTGCTTTTTGGGTTGGGTTGCGGTTGGGTTGTGGCCTGGGTTGGGTTGTTCCGCGTAAGGTTGGGTCGTCGGCACGAAGGGTGAGGCTCGATCGCCGCGCCGCTCACGCCAGCGGACGGCCACCATCGGTGATTTTGGCTTGGCCACCGTTCAAAGCGTGCGCAATGCGCTCGCCGACATCGAGTGAGCACGCCTGTCCGACGAGTGGCTTGCTGTGTGGACGCCTTCTTGTGGCTCTCGCCGAGAGCGTTTTGCGTCCCGGCGGGTGGGAGAATATGTGATAGGAACGAGTGTATCGCTTTGACGGATCGACCGTGCTTGTTATCAAGACTGATGTGACGCACACAGTGACACATCAGACGACACATATTCTCCCGGGATCAAGTGATGGCGTATTATCGGGCAGTCTTCTCATTGGCGAGTCAGACTGCTCAGCGTCGGCAGCAACGGCGCGTGAGCAGCGCAGCCACCGGCTCCTGCGGCGTTTGCAGCCACACCAAACGCCCGCGCGGGCCGGGTTGAAGCCCCAGGCTTATGTCGACGCCGGACATTGATTGTAGCCGCCGATGACCGCCGCAGGCCCTCTTTCACACACCCCACAGTCCCAGTTTGCAGCGCGGGGAGGAGCGGGGAGGCTCGCGTTTGGCAGGCCAGCCCTTCCGTGGCTCGGATTCCGTTTCCGAATTCAAACTTGCGCCAGGTGGCGCACGTGCTCCGGCCCTCCAGGTGTGGCGAGGGGGGGCATGCAGGTGGCTTGGAGGGGCCGAAGCCACCTGGCGCCACCTGCCCACCCATCAGGCCCAGGTGGCGCACGTGCTCCAGCCCTCCACGTACGTGTGGCGAGGGGGGCGGGGCAGGTGGCTTGGAGGGGCCGAAGCCACCTGGAGCCACCTGCCCAGGCCCAGGTGGCGCACGTGCTCCAGCCCTCCTCGTGTGGCGAGGGAGGGGGGGCAGGTGGCTTGGAGGGGGCTGAAGCCACCTGTTGCCACCTGCCCAGGCCCAGGTGGCGCACGTGCTCCAGCCCTCCAGGTGTGGCGAGGGGGGCGGGGCAGGTGGCTTGGAGGGGGCCGAAGCCACCTGGCGCCACCCGAGCGCTCACATGGCCACAGGCGGCGTTTGGAATCTACTCCAGGTGCTTTTTGCACTGTTTTGCCCATGGCCACAGGCGGCGTAAGCCGTCTGCTCCAGGTGCTTTTTGCACGGCTTTGCCCATGTCCACAGGCGGCGTAAGCCATCTGCCCCAGGTGCTTTTTGCACTGTTTTGCCCACTAGCAGACCTTGCGCGCACGCGCGCCAAAGGTTTGTTTTTCTGTCTGCAACAACAGCCCGAGGGGTGAAATGTCTTTGTTGTCTCTGTAACGAAGGGCCCGCCGCTCCGCCTTCGCCGGCGATGACCCTCTCGGCAGAGCGACATCGCGAGCACCGGGCAGAGAAGGGGACGCAGAAGCGGTTGGATGGAGAGGCAGCCGGCGCACGAGGAGAGGCAGCCGATGGAGCCGACGAGGTGAGTAGACACGAGTTTACCATTCTGCCCGGGGGGGGGGGGGGGCGCAAAGCCCTCCCCACCACTGCTACTCTGTACTGCATGCAACTAAGCAGTGGTCGCAAGCGTCGCAAAGGGCAGGGAGGCAGCCTCGCGCGCTGTCGAACGCCCCCCCGGCCCAGACAGAGGCATCACAATCATGCTCTGGCCAGCGTCTGGTGGCTCGGCATTGCGCAACACACGCCGCAATCAGCCTGAGAGCAGATGATGGGGTGGGCGCGGGTGGACGAGAGTGGAGCCGAGTTGGGTGGGAGAGGGAGCACGCACGTGCAGCGGTGCCGAGAGTGGGTTGAGATGGCACCGCCTGCGGCCGCCCGGGCGACGACGGCTTGCGCAGGTATGTTGTTCATGTCCTCATCCGCTGCCGCTTGGCTGCAGCAGCCAATGACGCCGCCCGCCTTTGCGAAGCGGCGTCTGGACGCGCTTGGCGGTTGACGCCGGCCCGCCACTGCGCCTCGTGCGCGTCCACCTCCGTCGAGGTCGACGCGTCGAGATCGGAGCGCATCACCGAGATGCCAGAGCCCGCCTTCGCCGACATGATTCCCCGCCGGAGAGCTCGGTGAGTGGTGCCGTCGCCTCGAGTCGCCCGAAACGGAAAACCGGACACGGGAAAATATAAGGTAAGATGTCCACAAGCGGCGTAAGCCATCTGCTCCAGGTGCTTTTTGCACTGTTTTGCTCATGGAGCAAGTGTGGCTGAAGCCACCTGCATTTTTGTGCAAAAGGCTCTAAAATGGCCGAAATCCCTGGTGGCGCACGTGGCGATAGCCACGTGTGCCTCGGCTAAGAGGCCTCTCCAAGGCGAGAGAGTCAGGTGGCACGACGCGAGTCAGGTGGCGTGGAGCCTCCTACCCCTGGGCCCATCTGCATCTCTCGAGGTCTCGAGTGCGCGCGGTGTGTGTGGAGCTGAGTCTGTAGAGCGCGAGTGAGTCTGACGCTGACATCGTGTGGGCACACCACACAACTCACAAGTGCATAGAGCCGTACGGGCTCCACATGGACATGGATGTATATGTGCATAATAGTTGTGTGTGTGCCGATCCCCACAGGCCTCTGGCTTTTCACTGACGAGAGGACACAGACGCAGAGGCGCACCACGGTCCAGACGCCTCAATCGTGGTAGCTCGTCCTTCGTCGGTGGAGGCAAACTCGAGTGAGCCGGTAAACGCGGCCGTGGTCGCATCTTCCGGGGGGCTGCAGCGCCGCTGGCCCTCTCTTGGCTGCTGCGGGTCTTGCGTGCGGCAGCGGCAAGGCGCAGCGCGGGAGGCGCACGCGGGCAAGACACGGGCACGCGCCTCGGCCTCGGCGTGGTGCGGGCCTCGCCTCGAGGCGGCGGCGAAGGGCTGCCACCCTCCGCGCCTCGTCCTCGTCCCCATCCTCTTCGTGGCCGACGAGCGGTTCCTCGCCCTCACGCCACGGGCTCGAGGGCCTCGGAGGCGGGCAGCTTGGACGCCTTGATGAGGGCGGAGATGGCCTTGAAGGAGGGGTGCTCCTTGCTCCGGATCAGCTCCATCATCACCGCCTCGGTCGTCGTCAGGAAGGCGCCCGCCCTCTCTGCGCGCCGCAGGCCGGTGAGCCGGTCGGTGGGCGAGCCCGAGGACACGGCGTCAACGCACAAGTGGACTTCGACGTCGGGGAGGGCGCCGACCAGATCGAGCACCGACTGTAAGACACACACGTGCGCCTCGAGCCCCGCGATCACGAGGCTGGTGCGGCCGGCTCCGGTGATGGCGCCGGAGACGGCGGCGTCCGCGAGCATCGAGAAGGTCGTCTTCTCAAAGACGCCGCCGCCAGTTTCGGCGAGGCAGGCCGTGTCGAGCTCCGCGACCGTGCGGCCGAGACCCTTGGGGTACTGCTCGGTGACGATTGCGGGGATCGAGAGCTCCCGCGCAGTGGCGAGCAGCCTGAGGCTGCCCGAGACGACGGCCGGGAACTTGTGGATCGCCGGCCGGAACCGCTCCTGGACGTCGCAGATGAGGAAGAGCGTCCTCTCGGGCGTGAGCCGGCCGAGGCGCATCGGTCGGGATCTCGGGCGCTGTGTAGGTTTGTCGTCTCGAGGTTCTCGAGGTGGATATCCTTTGGCCGCGTTGGGTACGGCCGCCGGGTAAGCGAGATCTCAGGCAAGTGAGGAGGTGTAGCATGGTTTCCTTATCGCTTCCGCACAGTCGGCACGACTGGATCACTTGCCTGAGGGTCCGAAAAGTACAGGACGCCCTCGCGCCGTTACTCCAAGCTGTTGGAGTGAGCGCCACCGACACATACGCCACATGGCTCTTTGGGCTCTGCCCGAGGGGGAAGCTCCTGCGCGAAGCCCCCAGGGCACTGACTCGCATCTTTTGGCGAGTAGTCTACCGCCACATGGTCCGTAAAGAGATTGACCGAGTTCAGTTCGTGACGGAACTCGTCGTCAAAGACATTGCTCATACCTTCATGACTCGCATTCTCCACACTCAAATGGAGCGCCAAAGGTTCAATCTCAAAAGAGTGGAAGCCCAAAACAAAGACAGGCCCAATGACTACATCACCCACTTACCAAGATCACTTGCTGAGCGATACTCTGACATCGGAGTCCTCGACTTGCCCACTGGGTACCTCGAGATCCATGACGGAGTGATTGACTTCCTCAAGGCCCAAGGGGTATGGTCAGACTTCAACTCCCCCGGAAGGGCGGGAGGAACGCAGTAAATCCCATTTTAAGTCGGGCGCAGAACCGACACTGAGGGCGGGCGCAGAACCGTCTCCTTCACCAAGACAGAAAATATAGAAAAAGGCTCTCCGTCCCCACGCAGGGCGCAGCACCTGCAAAAGAAATCCCTGTAGGGAAGCAGGGATAGCCGTTGAGGAGAAAGGGCGTAATAGATCTCTCTGGATAGCCCCGGTATCCGAAGCCTCTCGAGCTTGCTTGAGAGGTCGGCCTCCACCTCGCAAAATAACCCCTCCGTCCACGTGGCAATCTCCCGCGTGCCGAACCGGCGCGAGAGGGAGTATCCGCGGGTCGGGCGGGGGGGCCCCTCCCTCCTGGATGATGATTCTAGCACTTCCCTCCATAAGATAAGGCCACCTCGAATGTGCATAGAGGTGGTCATTGAGAGGGGAGTCCTAGAGACTGAGGGAGTTGGAGGTTATTTTGTCTGTCTGTTGGGTAGCGAGCTTGTCGCGACATCCGTGTGATTTCTTTTGGTTTGCTATCGTAAAGACCCTAGGAAGCAGCCGGATATAACTGGGGCCCCGGACGTAAGTGGGGCGGGCCCGGCAGGGGCACCGGCGGAATCGACCCGTTTCCCATCCAATATCTCCCACTCGGCCGCGGAGGCCCCAACTGAGAGTGGGGCCCGGGGGAGGGGGTCCCTACTGGTCGTGCCCACCCCTCGCATGACCCCGGGCGACAGCGGGTGCGCGATGCGATTTCTTCTTTTGCTGGCACGAGCAAGAGCAGCCGAGCTGCTCGCCGGGCCCGCTCCCTCTCCGCCTCGGCCGCCATGCCGTCGACTGCGGAGCCGAGCATGGTTGTCGAGCTCGACGGGCTGGTACGCTCCACGCTTGCTGCCGGCCGCGGCCCCGCTCCCGGAGTCGCGCTCGCCCGCCGACGGCCCGCCCCTCCCGCAGGTTGTGCTGAAGGTGCTCAACCACTGCCAGAGCGCGCTGCCATCCTTCGTGACGGGCCAGCTGCTGGGGATGGACATCGGCCGCACCGTCGAAGTCACCAACTGCTTCCCCTTCCCCGGGAAGAGCGAGGATGTCGGCGGCGGCGGCGCCGACGATGCGGCTGGCGACGGCGACGGCGCCGAGTACCAGATGGAGATGATGCGGTGCCTGCGCGACGTGAACGTGGACAACAACACGGTGGGGTGGTACCAGTCCACCTACTTCTCCTCCTTCATCGAGGAGTCGTGCATCGAGACGCAGTTCAACTACCAGCAGCACATCAAGACGGCCGTCCTGCTCGTCTACGACCCGGCTCGCACGCGCGCGACCGGGATGCCGCTCCGCGCCTTCCGGCTGACGGACCACTTCATGGCGCTCTACCGCGAGGGCAAATTCACGCTGCAGGCGGTCGCGGCCGCCAACCTGCCTCGCTCCGAGGCGCGCCAAGAGCCCGCCGCCGCTGCGGCCATTGCTGCCCCTCTCTTTTCCCGCCGGTCCCCTCCGCCTCCGCCCATCGACGCGTCCGCCCCGTCGCCCGCGGCGGCCAGGTCTTCGAGGAGCTGCCCCTGAAGGTGCGCCACTCGCACCTCTCCTCGGCGCTGCTCCTCGACCTCCAGCCAGAGTGCAACCTGCCGGTGAGCTGCACTCGCCCCCCCCCCCCCCCCCTCTCTGGGCCTCGCGCGGGGCGGTCCCTTTGCTTGCGCGGTCTGGACCGGCGGGCGGCGGTGTGAACTAGGCGGGCGGCGCCGACTTTGCGCGGCTCGAGCTGCACACCAACCCCTTCCTCGAGAAGCAGATGCAGCTTCTGATCGAGTGCACCGACGACCTGCAGCAGGCGAGCTGCACGAGGGAGGGAGGGGGGAGGGAGAGGGAGGGGGGAGGGGGAGGGGGAGGGGGGCGAGCAGTGGTCGCGACCGAGCCGGCAGCGCCGCTGCTGAGGCGTGCCCTGCTCCGGACATCGGCTCGACCCTTCTGCCCCCCGTGTGCGCAAAGGAGTCGTCCAAGCTGCAGCACTACGAGAGAAACACGCAGCGGCAAAAGGCGGCTCAGGCCGCGTACCTGCAGAAGAAGAAGGCGGAGAAGGCGCGCGGGCGGGGCTGGAGGGGGGGGCTGGGAGGGCCCGCCGCCTCACCCCGCGCCGGACCTCTGACTCGCAGGCGGCCAAGCTGCTCAAGGGAGAGGAGGTTGCCGACGAGGTGCCGAGCAGCTGCCACACCGATCCCTCGCGTGTGTGTGCAGCCCCTCCTCCCGTGCTCACGCCGCTCTCCGCTCGTACTGCAGGACACGAGCAGCAACCCGCTCTTCAAGCCCATCCCGCAGCCCTCGCGTCTCGAGGCGCTGCTCATCGCAAACCAGATGCAGTCCTACTGCCAGCAGATCAACGCCTTCTCGGGCCAGTCCTTCGCGAAGCTCTTCCTCCTCCAGAGCCTCAACTCGGGCGCCCAGTGAGACGTGCCGCGCAGCTGCTGCGCCGCACGGGCAGCCGAGCGCTGCGCAGGCGGAGCGCTCTTGGTCTCGTAACGACGCGTGTTCGCGTCGTCCGATATCGCGAATCGGGTCGCCGGCTGAGTCCGACAGCGACACGCGACAGCAGCGGATATAAGTTTTTGTGCATCTCCCACTCTTAAAAGCGTAACTCCTACAACTGCCCCACCCACCCCACACGAAAATGGACCCTTCACGTAATTCTACTGAACATGAGCCCCCAGGCCCCCACCGGTGCCGGTACTACCGCGCGGTAATCACCGAACAGAACCGACATGTGCTAAAGCATGGGTGGACAGCTCGCCGCATGCACACTGCAAGACCGCCCTCGGCGGAGGTGCGCGGAATGTTTTGTCAGAGGGCGAGTGCTGCGGCCAAGTCGCTCACCCCGGAGCGTTGCAAAGGCAAAGCCAGCGGCACCGGCACGACCGGTGGCTGGCAAGGGCTGCCTCCGCCCGGAGATTCCAGCGGCGCGTCCGCCTCAGGCAGAGGGTAGGCGGCGGCGTCGGGCTGTCTGTCCCGCTGCGCGCGGCGCCCAGCGGCATTGAGCGCGGTGCCCTTCCAAGCCGCCTCGCCCGTGAGCCCCACGGATCGCGAAGCCGGCGATTCAGGTGGGGAGAGCACGTCGTCCGCTCCCGTCTCGCCACGCTTGCGCGGGGCTCTCCGGGGTTCCTCCACCTCCACCTCCTCGCGGTGTACTGGCAACCGTGCCTTCCTCCGAGCCGCCAGCGCCGCGAGGCCCTGAGATTTTCCCGAGCCGAGAGCCCGGCCGGAGCGAAGCGTCATCTGTACCGACCCGTCCATTGCCGAACGCTCACGCGCAGAGGAGGCAGGTAGCGCTCCTCTCAGCATTGAGTGAATTGTGAATTCGTTGCCCGAGAGGTTCGCGGTTTCTTTCGCTCGCAGCCCCCCACCCAGCCGATGTGTTTTGTCTTCCGCTTATTTTTTCTTTTCCCTATCTCGCCCCTTCATGAGCAAACCCCGCGTCACGCCGCCGGCTGCGGCGCGTTGTCCGACGGAGCGTCCGCCTCCGCCTTTGCGAAGAAGGAGGGCGCGGCGGCGCGCGACTCCCCCTTTGCCGCCTTGGCGAAGGCCTCCTCGGCGCCTTTGCGGTGCCGCTCGCGCCACTCCGCCTCGAGCCGCTTGGGCAGCTCTCCCATCCCGCCAGAGGGGTGGTACGAGTAGAGGAAGAGGAACTGGAGCGGGAAGATGAGGTACTGCAACAACGGCTTCCACGCAAACGTGAGGTACGACAGCACGCCCTTGCCGCGCTCGTCGTGCGGCGACCAGGGCGTGTCGAAAAAGTTGATGATCAGGTCCGACGCGAGGCGTGAGAGCAGCGAGACGGCGGCGGCGCGCGGCTTGCGCCGGCCGACGAAAGTCTGCAGCGCCTCCCGCACCGCCTGCGGCTCCGCCGGCGCGGCGCCGCCCGGGCCGCACGCCTCGGAGAGAGCGCGCGTCAGCTCGAGCGCGTCCTCGATCGCCTGGGATCAACAGCCCACGGTGAGCTCCGTAGCATGGTGAGTGAGAGCTGGCGCGTCCTGGATGGCCTGGCAGCCGCCCTGGCCGAGGTTTGGCATCATCGGGTGCACCGCGTCGCCCACGAGCACCTGGGGCAAGGGGGGTGGGGGGCGAGGTACTAGGCCTCCGAGAGGGGAAGGGGGAATGGGGGAAGGGGGGAGGGGGAGGGGAGGAGGGAGGGGGGAGGGGGGAGGGGGAGGGGGCGCCACTCCGCCGTCGGCCCACGAGCGGAAGAGCTCTGGCGGCCGGTCGTACAAGTCTCGCTGCTCGACCGCCTATGTGCAGAAGGGGGGGGGGGGGGGGGGGTTAGGGGACCCTTCTCCCGCGTCGGGGGGGGCCGGCCCCCCCCTCTCCTCCGGGGGGGTCGACTCGAGGACGCGGATCACCTCGTCGGGCCAGCCTGCGGGCTCCTGCTTGAGGTCGGCGATCACCCTTCGGGAGGAAGGCAGCGGGGTTGAGGGCCAGGGGGGAGGGCGAGAGGGGCGGGCGAGGGGGGAGGGCGAGAGGGGCGGGCGAGAGGGCTCCGGCTCGCGCCTGCTGCCCTGCGCGCCCGTCGAGGCGCCCCCCTCCCACGAGTCTCCCGCCCGCTTGGTGCCCGGAGGCTTGCACAGGAACGAGTACCACTGCACGCGCCTACAGCCACGCGACAGCAGACCGCCTCGCCGCAGCCGCGCCACCGCGCCAAGCAGGCAGGGCCCACGGCGCGCCCGTCCCCGACGTCCGAAGTCACAAAGTACTTTCGCGGACCGATGTACACCTGTGCCCCGGCGAGCGGTGACCGGGGGTGGTGTGTGGCGTTGGTGCGAGCGCCTCCTCGCGGCCCCGGCGCGCGCACCTTGTACCCGCACTCGAAGTAGTCTGCAAAGTCGGCGGTGCCGCGCTCCGGCACGAACTCGCCCGCGAAGACCGTGTACCCCGAGTAGGGGCACCCTTGCCTCGTCAGCCCGTCTGCCGCCGTCTGCCGCACCTCGCCCTCTCCGTACATCTGCGCGCGCACGGTGGACCAGATCCCGTCCGAGCCGACGAGGACGTCCGCCTCGGCGACGCTGCCGCGGGGAGGGAGGGAGGGCAGGGGTGGGGCGGAGGGGAGGGAGGGAGGGAGGCGGAGGCGAGGGAGGGAGAGCTGGCGGCGGCGGCACCTTCCGTCGGAGAGTGTCGCCACCACTCCGGCCTCCGTCTGGGTGTAGCTGGCGACGGGGGCCCCGTTGACGATGAAGTCCGGCTTGATGGCGCGGCACTCGTCCAGCAGGATGTCCTGCAGGTCCGGCCGGTCGATCACCCCCGTGTACGGCAGGTCGAAGAAGTCGGCGCACGCCTTGAGCGGAAACTCGAGGTACCAGTCGGCCGGCGTGGAGGGGTCGAAGAGGAAGCGCGGGTCGGCGACGGGCGTCATCCGGAAGCTGCCATCGGCGCGCAGCCCGTCCTTGATGCCACACCGCCGCGTGCCCGTGAAGGTGAAGTCGGCGATCACCCGCTCAAACAGCCGCTCGTCAATCGCCTTGAGCGCCGAGAGCGCGTTGGAGGCAAACTGGATGGGGCCGCCGAAGCGGGCGAACTGGCCCGTCTTCTCGTAGACGGTCACATCGAAGCCCGCCTTGAGCATCGCCAGCGCCGTCGTCAGCCCACCCACGCCGCCGCCCGCGATCGCCACAGTGAGCGGCCGACCCGGGTTCTGCGAGCTCGCCGGCTCTGCGAGCGCCAGCGCCGGCCCGCCGCGCGCCGCGATCACGCCGCGCGGCGGCGACGGGTGCATCAGCGGCGGAGACAGCACCAGGCCGGCGGCTCCAGCAGCGAGGAGAGGCAGCGCCGCCATCGCCGCGAGATAATAGGCCAGCCAACCGGGGATAAATAACGCGAGGGGGCCTCAGTTTCGTTTTTTCTCACACCACGTGCCTCTGCACGTCCGTTCTTGAAAAAGTGGGTGGGTGGGTAAACGCTTCGTAGGTCCCGAATGGTGAGTGGGTGGCTGGATGGGTGGTGGCTGATTGGCTGAGTGCTTGGGTGCGTTGGTGCCTGGCCGGCAAAGGTTTGACCGTTTCTCTCTCCCCTCGCGCGCGTCTTCGAGGCACAGCTCTCGTCGTTGCGACAGCATGTCGTTCCTCGCACCGTGCCCACGCGACGCGCGGCACCAGATGACCGAGATCGCGCTCCCCGACTGCCGCGTGCCTTACGGGCGGCTGACGGCGCGCTCAACAAGTAAGTCATCCGAGGGCGGACTGCTGTTACGCTCGACGAGTGCGACGCCGCTCTAGCAGCTCGAGGGGTTCAAACGCGAGGCGACCATCGTCTCCGCCGAGCTCGACGACGAGGCGGCCGTTATTATCTCCTGTCCTCGGGAGGGCGGCGGCGGCCCGGTGCAGAGTCGGAGGCGCGCTCCCGATGACAAATATTCGCCTCACAGTCAAACACGGCTGCTCGCACGCCCAGCCGTGCTCTGGTGCGTCGCTTGGGACGCCTCTGCCGCCGAGATGTCGAGGCCGGGGCGCACTCTTCGACTTGGGCTATTATCTGGCCTCGGGAGGGCGGCGGCGGCGGTGTAGGGGCGGCGGCGAGCTCCCGGTGGCAAATGCTCGCCTCACAGTCCAAGATGGCGGCTCGCGCCCCCGGCCGTGCTCTGGCGTGCCTCTCTAGTCCCGCCTGCCACCCAGATACCGAGGGCGGCGCGCACTCTTCGACTTGGGCTATTATTTGGCCGCGGGAGGGCGGCGGCGGCGGTGTAGGGGCGGCGGCGAGCTCCCGGTGGCAAATGCTCGCCTCACAGTCCAAGATGGCGGCTCACACGCCCAACCATGCTCTGGTGCGTCGATTTGGGTCGCGTCTGCTGCCCGTGTCTCTGTCTTATCGGCACGACGACAACAAGCTACCCCTAACCCTAACCCTAACCCTAACCCTCACCCTCACCCTAACCCTAACCCTAACCCTAACCCCAAGAACTCGGAGCATTCACCGAGAGCTCGCGTCAACGGACCGCTGGTTCCTCCATTCGACCCGAAGCGGCCCGTTCTTAGGAGCTGCACAACGGCTTGAACTCTCTGACCCGAACCCTAACCCTAACCCTAACCCTA